ACCCATCGACCTCACCGCAGACTCACAAAATTCTCAAATCAAACGTACCAAAGCTCAACTCAAGGATGTTCCTATGAAATTCCTGAAATTTCAGGAAGATGTTAGACCTCCATATCAAGGTACTTATACACACATACCTATCAATGGTATATCGAAATTAGCACGCAATCCTATGAGAAGGGATCTCCCGAATACGAACTACGATTATGATAGTGAGGCGGAGTGGATTGAAGATGAAGATGCAGAAGATTTGAATAGTGAGGGGGAAGAAGATGAAGAGGGTCTTGATGATGCAGAGGATATGGATGGATTCCTCGATGATGAAAATGATGACCTATTGATCTCGAGACGTGCCATGGGTGGTGTACAGGGGGATTTGGAGCCTGTTAGTACGGGATTATGTTGGGAGGATAGGAAGAAGAGGAGTACGAATGTTAAGATGATGCCGTTTAGGATGGAGTTTATTCTTGGTAAGCTTTTTTGCTTGGAACTTTTTTTAACGCTTGTTTTTCGTGTCTCGACGGATATCTGAGATAGCTACTGATATCAAACAGATCCAAAAATGAAATCTATAGATCCTTTCTCGACACAATATTGGGACCCAATCGTACCTCTATCTCAAACAGGATCAATGGACCCTCCACGTCTTCCTTTAAAATCAACAAATACCAACGCCCGCCAAACTTCACCATCTCCTCTAGGCTCTACGTCCAATAACAAGAAAGTCTCCAACCCCAATCAAAAATCCACACCGCTATCTTTCTTTGGCACTCCGGCCTCTTCTACTACAACTACATCTCTCCCAATCCATCAAGGTCAAGGTCAAGGTCAAGGTCAAGAAGCAAAAGCAGACACGAAACCGAAAAAATACCTCCCGGACTCGGATCTCCCGGCGTTTAAAGAAGCAATTCAGGGAAGTGATTTGAGTAAGGTGGGGTTGGTGGAGGTGTTGAAGAAGAAGTTTCCGGGGAGGACGGGCGGGGCGATTAAGGCGACGTTGGATTTGGTGGCGAAGAGGGTGGGGGGGAAGGAGGCGGAGAAGAGGTGGGTTTTGGTTTAGGGAGGGGGAGGGGGAGGGGGAGAGAGTGCATGGGTGAGGAGATGAATGACTAGGAGGGAGTACAAGGACGCTAGTTGGAGCAATATGATTGCATGGCATGGTATGGCATGGCACGAAACGAAATGGAGGAGTCTTGGGCGCAATACATAGATAGCTAATTGCGGGCTGTTATCTTGCTATTATCTTGCTACGTGTATGTTTTGGGACTGCATGGGATGGCATGGGATGAAATGGAATGGAATGGCATAGAATGGAATGGAATGGATTGGTCGGATGTATAGTGATGGGTGGGTGGGTGTAAGTGTCTAGAATTTTAGTCAACTTTGCTTGCTTACCTACTATCTGTGAGTGAGTGAGTGAGTGAGTCAGTGGGTGGGTGAGTGATTGATTCACTTGTTGATTGATTTATTTATATATTCATATATTTATTCATGAATGCCGGGGGAAAGTGAGGAAAGTGAAGTGGGTGATGGATTGAGTGATGGATTGAGTAATGAATTGAGTCATTGATACATACTGTGCTCATTTTGATGTAGTTTTATACTAGAAAGGAAGTAGCAGTAGTAGTCATCCACATTTTTTTGCAGGATACGGATCCCGTCTCACTCTTACATATATACATGGTCGACCAATTCAGATCGATTCTCTCACGACTATCATCTCCAAATTTTCTTCAAAGTTTTGGGAGATCCAGGCTCAAGGTGTCAGTAGCGCAGTAAGTAAGAGGGAAAACGGCCATTTTTCTGTACTAGAGGTTCTTATCTCGCTGATATGTGTGGGATTCCCGTTTGCAAGAGTAGATGGTAATTTGTGATGTCTGAGAGTAGCTCAAAACTCGATATGAATTTAGCGGTTCAAGCTGATCTTATAAGCTTGAATCTTGTATTCCGAGGGTTGATAATTGAAAAGTCTCTGGATCTCCACGGTACACATGATTGTAGAGGGATGTATCTCTTGTGGTGTTCAATAATAGCTTCAATTGATAGTGGAAAGTCCCAACAGGGATTGGGTAGAAAGATGTTGACTAGTTAGTCTTATCTGCACATTAATTGATATCATTTCTGAATAAGTACATTCATACGCTTTCAATTCTCATAGGAAATGGCATCTTACTCAAATGAGAGACTATTGCCAGACTCTCGCGCTGACTACTTTCGAATATGATTTCACTACTTCGCTAGTGGTTCTTGTCAAGATCTGGAGCGTAAGTACGACATGAGAGACCGGAGCAAAACAGAGATAGATTCAACTCGAAAATTAGTAAAGATCCAATGTCATAACCCGATATCGTGAATTTCAAAAATTGACCTTGGCCACTATCACGAACTATTCTCTATCTTACAAAGCACGCTCTATCAAAACCGTATTCCAATATTTGACTTTCATTGCCGATGCGTAAGTATCGGCTACATGGCCACACCCCACCACACTGTCCGGTATTGCTGAGGGAAGACCTCGAATTCGTGTTATCTCAAAAAACTCCCAACACAAATTGTAAGATGCAAATCCTATCCAAACATAAGTATTACTCATGATTCGTGCTGATGCATTACCAAACCAGAAGCAGATTTTTCAAACTAATCATCGGCAAAGATCTGTGAAGAGCAGAGACGTTCAATTCTCGGATCTCCAAGTAGGGAATGATCGTGAGGCTATTTCCACGATTAATTTACTACTTAGCACTAACTTCTGAATAGCTAGAGTGAGAGCCAAGTAATCATCTTCATTTTGTCTTGGGACTCCATTGTCCCAAATCCAATTGAACAATCAGGAACACCCATTACGCGAGGGGGAGAGCGAGAAGAAGACTGAACGGGTTTCTGGCCTGCAGATGAATAAACTGATCCTCGTAAGGAAGTTATCGTAGCATTCGGTTATCCCAATTCTGATTTCACATTTTAGAACCACAAACTCCGAAACCAGGAGCTGAAATGGTCGTTCCGTGACCGGGAACGAGATCTCTTTCAGCAGCAAGAAATGGTCGTTTCAGAGGATCAGTGGTGCCTTTGGGCAGAATAGTCGACCTGTTGGTTTGCTTCAAACTCGAATGGTAGTGATAGGGGTTGGAGGGGGAGGTGAGAGGGAAGGTAATACAGCGTTAGTGCTTTGATAAATGAAGCCAGCACTCTCTCATATAAGGGCAAATAAGATATATTTTTGAAGTCAGGATGAGATCAGACTATTTTTGACATTTCTCTTCGTCTGTCGAATCATTTCGACGTGGAAAGATTTTTTCAGGCACCAACTCAGAAGTGCCAGAGGTTGAGTAAGAGTTCTGGAACCTACTCATCGCACATGTAACGATTTTCCTACTGAAACCTTCAATTATTCACTTTTGAACTCCCCATCGAATCACTACACTCTTACATAAATTTGTAGAATTTTCTTTGAAGCGTTTTCATGTATTTGAATTATGTACTGTGAAAAAGGAGGTCATACAAGAAAGCCTTTACCTATATTATACAACCATAAGGTAATTCTAAATAGCTATATATAGCAAATAGAGCGGATTATTATATAGTGATAGTGAGGTAAGAGAATTCAGAGGTTTTATAGTATATATATAATCAAATTTAAACAGTCGAATAGAGAGTAAGAAGATAGATTACTTTTTTAGAGCCTATGACAATAAAGATTTTCAAGGTTGTGTGAACATAGGTTCAAGTCAAAGGCCTTTATAGTCTCATTTAAGCGAAAGCGAAGGCTAGCTCTTTCAATAGCCCTTGTATATGAGCTCTTCTATTTGTAATTAGTTAGATAATTGATCTTTTCATTATTATACCTTTTTCGGTTTGAGTAGAACACAGAAGACATAGAACCTAGATGTAGGGTCTAATTGTTAATATATATTTAGTCTAATAAACTATCTTAAAGAATAACTATGACATTTTGCCTTAAGAGAACTGTGTGATCAGGGTACAATTTATCCTTAGAATCTACAACCACAGGATTAAAAGCAAAGTGCTTGTAGAATGCTTTGATATACTAGCTATGTACACATGATCATATATATACGCGGACACACATATATACAATCGCATTGCGATTGAGTGCGATTCGTGATAATAACAAACTATCATACAAAAATTGAATCTCAAGCAGAATTCTATAGACACTGTCAGATAGAACCAGAATAGAATCTGGATAAAACTTAGAATAAACAAAATAGTTATTCTATCTCGTGGAGTAAGTAGATAAACAATTGAGACTTGAGGTCGAATTGTTATATCTTTTATAAATTAAATTTCTAATAAAGGAAAAAATTAAATTATTGTATTTACGGCAAATTACTCTCATATCCCCCAAATGTTGATTGATTACTCTCATGCCTTATAGAATCTAGTCATCTTAAGCTAAATTCTACTCTCCTATTATAGAATCTACTCTCTTCCTATAAAATCTAGCCTTTCAATATTGGATCTATTTACCCCCTTCTATTATAAAATTTATCCTAAATGGACAGAATCTAGCCACTTTAGACTAAATCCTGTCATAGATTCTATTATAGATTATAGAGAGTATATAAATAAATCATCTTACAATTTTAGAGCATGAGAATAATTGAATAGCTTTTGAGAAGTATGAGAGTGATCTACCGTTGTTTTCAATGAGTTATCATTTCCTTATCAGAATAAACCTTTCTTAATACTTATCACTAAAAAATCTTTGAAGGAATCGCTAAGGCTATCCTATTACTCTGACTAACAACCATCATATCCAGATCTCAGATTTATACAAAAATAATTGAATATACAAATGATTTACATATCTATATACACAGTTGGAAAGCCAAAAGCCTTGGAGATTATAATAATACAAAGTCTCAAGCATGACAATGAAATTTATGACTTCCTTTTACAAGGCACTTATAATACATCTGAATTCAATCTCTATAACGGCGCATCACATCTTCTACCTCACCGAATCTTGTGTGTCCCATTTAATAAACTGGGATCTTAAATGCTGGGAAGGAGTAAGTCCAGGCCTCAATAAATCTCGCGTCATTGACACAGTCAAATCCACTGCTAGTGTTTGAGTGAAAAAGAGGACGAGTTGGCCATTGGCAGAGGCTCACAGCATCACCTTCCACGGCACCACCGCCAACAGTGGTGTTAAGAGCAGTAGGTTTAATACCTTTCTCGACCCAATCGATCATTGTGTGTATATTATCCTTAGGGTATAGACCATCGGGTTGTAGAGTGTTTGCTCCACAGTGAGTTGCACCAGGGATCAAATAGAATTGATACAAATCAGCAAGGGCAGCAAGACTGTCATCTTCAGACAAATCTGGATACATCACAGAGCGAAAAGATTGCCAGTAGTGGACTGATGATGTAGTGGGAATGCTTGGGTCTGATTCGCTATGGTAATGAAGAAGTTTCCCTTTTGAAGATTGACATGGAGTGAGATCGGGAAGAGTAGTCTGCAAGCTATCGTAGTACTTGGCCATCCCGGTATTCATCCATTCTATCATAGTATCGTATATAACATTATCGATACTAAGTAAATTGTCAATGTTCAACAACTCAATCAACTTAACAATGTATTCGCTACCGGTGGATGGGATATCAAGAACCCAAGAATCGCTATCAATCGTATTAAGTCTCAGCATCAGAAAGCTCAGCACCGATTTGCCAAGAGATATAAGCACGCTGGCCTTTAGAGTTGAAAAGACCATTGTAAATAGCTTGAGCAACAGCGACATCCTCGGTACCCACAGTTCCATCTTGCGCTCGTTGGTAAGTAGTGGTGCTACTGGCAACTTGGCGCTTGCTGAAACCAAGACCAAGGGACGTGCTATTCTCAGCAGCGCAGTAATTGGATTGTCCGACAATTGAGGTAAAATTGAATTCGAGTGAACATAGATCTGAGCGAGATATAACACCATCCGCTCTTCCATCCAATGAGTCACATGCAGTAATGATAGAAGTGATAATTTTATTCCATTCGTATGGAGGGGGATACTATGCCAAAGTTTGTTCTACAGCTGGAAACATATAAGTAGTTTGCTACTGACTATAGTGGAATGCGGAGGTATTAGTGATAGCTTTATTGTATTCTTCATTCCAATGTTGAATTCAACTTATACCTTGATATTCATTATCTAAGCATCCTTCGAAATAGGTGTAAAGCTTGGTGTTGATGGATATGTTGTAGATAGCCTTGGTACGTGCTTTTCCAATAATAATCATCTCATCTATAGCCTGGTATCTGAACATGTACAGAGAATATGGTCAGCTTTATTGGTACTTCAAGCCAAGTTCGATCATTAACTCATGGTAGCAGGCCAGTTAATAGTTTCATTTGCAAGCAAGGCCGCTTCATCATAGGCAGAATTTGCATTATCATAGCCAGCAGAAGTCATGCCTCCAACTGCTCCATATATAAGACCACCAAGTGGATCGGTAGAAAGCAAATAAGCCTGTCCTCCTGGAACATAGAAACGATTCTCAAATGCGGAAGGAGCAGGAAGAGCACAATTGATGAAGACCGAGTCACTTGAACCACTGTGGGTATAGTAAACGGTTGCGTTACAATAGGTTCAAGTTCCGGTTGTACCTCCACCTCCTAAGACGGAATCGGTTGCATTATAAATATTTGCTGATTTAAGCGATGGGACCATGGTGATACCAGCAATCCCATCGGTGGGTAAAGATGCCTCTGAATTGGCAACAGTACAAAGTTGAACAAGTGATTCCGTGATATTAGTCGCGGCACTAGCGCACGTTGCAAAAGTAGCGAGCGCTGTGATTGAACGTCTCATGACGAGTTGTTTAATGTTAGGAAATGAATGTAAAAGTTGGCTGTGATGGTTTGGTTTCTATGTAACTTTAATGAACATATATAAGTATTCAACTGATCGAATTGAAAAGCATACGCGTTAATCATATTCAAACCAGTATTAGTTGAGCTTCAACGTAATCCCACAGGGGATATAGTCCGAAATCGCCGGTATTATCAGCGTAGTATGGATGAAATCTGAATAACTTTCAAGGGTTGATATCTAGCACGCCAAGCATTATTGAAGACTGGAAACTCTAACCAGCAAACCTTAAAGCTTAAACTGAAGAAACCATATTTTAGGGGCCGAATTTATGAGACAATTCCATGCAAAAACACGCGTTCGAAATGGAACTACGAAGTCGACAACATCAGAAGATAGAACATAGTATATCGTAGAATAATTGCGTGAATGCCGGGAGGGGGTTGATATCCCCTGTCATTCTTTCTTAATTGTGTACATCATCTATTTGCTTCAATAACTGCTTTACGTTGAGGTGGTGGATTTGGAAAAGATCGTACCAGTATATTTTATAACTTGTAGAAATTGGAATGATAGGTAGTACTTTGATTTATCCAAATCATCAAGTATATTTCAAAATAACGGCACTTCAATTCGATAGAAGGTGCTCTTGTCTCTCTATTCTGAATGCTATGATATGAACAAAATGCTTTAGAAAACTCATAATCGTAGGCCTACTAGTCCCCTCTTTTTAGCCCCTCTCATCGATTCATTTAAAACACTCGATCTCCAGAGGGAGTAGGTTCCCTTGAATGATCCTTATAAAATTTATATATGTTTTTATAATTCAATAAATTTCTAATTAAAAGTTTCATTATGAATGAAAAAATAGTATATCAAAAGTGTCACGGATCGCACTCAATCGCAATACGATCGCTTATATGCATATACACGTACATGCACGATCATATATATATAGCTAATATATAGAAACGCTCTATAAACATTTTACTCTCAATTCTATAATTATAAATTCTAAGAATAAATTATATTCTATTCTTATAGTTCTTTTAAAACAAAGTGTTATATTATCTATAATTTATTATACGATTGTATAGCTATTTAATAATTAATCAAATAATATCTTATAACTTAATATTTTTTTAGATAAATTATATAAATTTGATATTATTTATAAGAAAAAGATTTATTTTGAATAATTCTCAATGAAAATAATTTATTAATGAATATACAAATTATAAATATTATTATTATATCTACATTTATTAATTCTAATATTAATTTATTTATATTAATATCTAATATATAATAGTCCCCAATTAGCCCATCTATTCAATTCGATTGAAAGCAGACTTATATAAATGATAACAATATCGTTTTTGGATTTGATATTAATTTTAATAAAAAAGAAAAGAATAAGAAAAAGGGAATTATTTATCAATCTCAAGATAATACTATTCAAATTAATACTCAAATATAATTAATTATAGATTAAATATAGATACTCAAGTTTTTATAAAAATAAGTTATTAGATTATAAGCATAAATTAATAATATTCAAAGTATTATTAATTTATCTTATATTATTTTTCAGCAATCTTATATATCTTTTTTTAAAAAAAGCGGAGTCTAGATTTCTAACATTTTTATAAAATTTATTAAATAGAATACTTTTATGTTTGGAAAAAAGAAAAATCGTTTTTAAGAATATATTTTGGAATAATCTTACTTTTATTTAGAAAAGAGTATTTATTTACTGATAATTATATTTAATTATAATTTGTTATTTTATTAAATATTCTACTTTCATTTTGATATTGTTTTTATAGAAAAATCATATATTCCAAAACTCATTAATCTCTTATTAAAACTTAAAGATAATATAAAACTAAAAGTAGGTTTATAGTAACTATTAGTTATAAAACGATTAGAGCTATATACAATATCATTTGTTTTGGAATTACAATATTAATCTTACATAACAAATCAAATAGAAAAAGAAGCTTAATAATATCTATACTCTTTATATACCTAAATCCCCCTTTTAATAAGACTATAATTAATTGATAAGCTCATAGCAATTTATAAGAATCCTATCAAAATCGATTATATACAAATTGAATATAAATACTAGATTATATCTAATAATGCCCAAAAAGGTAACTTTATATTATAATATTAGAAATTTCAATTGCTTGTTATACAAGTGGAAATCACTAATAATAAGATTCTCTTTTACAATTTGAAAAGAAAAATATTCGATTTCCTTTAATAAGCTATTAATCTTTATATTAAAGATTATATTACTATTAAAAACCTTATTAATAAATTTATAGAGATTGATGAACTCAAAATTATTATTCGAGAATATAATTATTATAAATAAATTAAAGAAACTTCAAACAAAAAAGTTATTAATAGTGTTTTTATATAAAGTATATTTAAGAGTACTTTCTATATATATAATAATTTTACTCTATTTCCTTAATCTCATTTCCAAAATCCCTTTTATACTTCAAATGGCTATATAGGAATCTTTAGATTAGATATTATTTTGTTTTTAGGAAACAATTTCAATTATAGTACTATATCTCTTTTACTAGAAGCTAATTATAGTTCGATTTTATATACAGACAACTTTATTATTATGATTAAAATCGAAGAAACTAGAGAGAATAAAGATTCTCATAAAGATTTCTATAATATTGAGAAGGATTTGAATTTAGAAGTATAAGCGGAAGTTATTAAATCTATTTATAATACTGAAAACTAATATTTAAATTAATATGCTTAGATAGAAGTTTTTTTCTAAATATAATTTGAAATATAAGATTTCTCAATTTAACAAAATTAATGGGAGATGATTTTATAAACCTATTTTACATATTTTCAAAGAATAAATATTTATTTCAAACTCAATCTTTTATAAATTCCAAAATAAACAATTTCGCTTTTATTAATAAGATACTTTTTATATTACTATTTCCTATATTTAAATCTTGTTATTTATTGCTTAATCCCTCTATTGAAATCAAAAGCTATAATAGTACAAAAAATAAAGTAATTATTTATTATATATTTCTTAATTTTATTATTAACACTCGATAATAGTTCTATTTATTATTTCTTATTATCAATTTAGGATTATATAATATAATCTTAGGCTGTATATAGCTGGTAAAAACTCGAGTTAAGGTAGATTATTTTAATCAAAATCTCAATTAGTCTATAGAACATTCTTTTATTATTTTATTATTAAAAAATATACCTTTAATTAAGAATAATCTTTAAAATTATAGAATCAATTATTTGAAATAAAAAAACACAAATAATCAGAATATTTGATTGAATTAAATATACTATTAACTAAATAATAAATAGTAGAGTATAATAATAATTATATTAAAAATATTTATTATATTTCCAAAAAAGATTAATATAATAAAAACAATATTTATTAAAGCTTAGATTTTAGTTAATTTAGAAAAGAAATTTGTTCTTAATCAAATATCTATTTAAATAATATACAAATCTTTTTCTCTTTATATCTCTAATATATTCAATATTTGTATACTTAAGTTAATCTAATTCTAATTCATTTGTAAAAAAAATAAAGATTATAAGATCTTTATAATTATTTATATAAAGATCAATAATATTATTTTACTTTACAAATATAATTAAGAAAAAGACTACTATATCTCAAATATAATCTCTAATTTGAAAAGTTTGAAATCAAAAACTTTAATAGCTTTCAATTATATCATTGTAGATATTGAGATAAAACTATTGATTCCCAAAGTTTATCAGCAATATCACTAAGTATTTTCCAAATACAAATTGAATATCCTACCTCTCCTTCAATTATATAACCACAAAATCATATTGAAAGAAAAAGGCGAAAAAGCCTTTAAATATAATCCTCTATATAAGATATCCCTCAAGCAGCTTAAAATCATTAAAGAATATATTATCAAAAATCTTATAAAAGGATTTATAAAATTTAGCCAAGCTTTATTTATAATACCAATTCTCTTTATAAGAAAGTCAAATGAAAACTTAAGATTTTATATAGACTTTCAATTATTTAATTCTTTAATATATAAAAATAGATATCCTCTATCTCTTATTAATAAAATACTTATATAACTTGCTAATACAAAGGTATATACCAAACTAGATATTCGACAAGCATTCTATTATATTTATATAGATTCTGCTTTCGAAGAATATATTACCTTTTGTATTCGATATGGTTTCTATAAATACAAAGTTTTATTTTTTGAACTGACAAACGGCCCTGCGACTTATCAATAATATATAAACAATATTCTATTTGATTATTTAGATAACTTCTGTATTACCTATCTTAATGATATACTAATTTACTCTGAAAACGAAGATGAATATGAAGAACACATTAAATATATTCTCGAATAATTTGAGTCTATTGGCTTACAAGTAGATCTCAAGAAATACAAATTCAATATCAAATGTATTAAGTATTTAGATTTTATTATTTCTATTGAGAGAATTGTTACGACGGATTAGTAACAGACTGTAGAATCACCAACGTATAGGCTATAATAATATTATAGGCCTTAGTGATTTAGCTATAGTATACCGGGGGACACTAGGCACCCAAGGAAAGCCTCAAATATATATATAGTATTAGTCATAGAATACCCTAGAAACCTAGAATATAGTTCTCAGAACAATAGATCCTAGAAAAGATAGAATACAATAAACAAAAAGGCTTTACTAAAATTAATAATATCCCAAAGAATTAGCCCCAAAACAAAAGAATAAACTAGAACAATAGAAATTATAGAACAAATATTATATAATCAAAAGCTAATCAATTTATTGATCAATTTGCCAATCAATTTGTCAATTAACTTCAATATAAAGATCTATATAAGGAATAGGTTTTATTATAATATAGAGCTTTATGCTCAAGAACAATTATTAGTTTTATTATTATAGTTATAAGAATTACAATTAGTTATAATCTTATTGAATTCCTATTTAAAGTTTAGTTTAAACTATCTCAAGAGATTTCTAGATACTTCTATATAACCCTAGAGGCAGTTCCTGTAACACTTTGAACACCTTTTTTGCTTCAAGTATTGATTCAATAAATCATTGCTAAATATAGTATCCAGAAATGTTGTTATAAATTAGTCTACATTAGCAGCAGATATTATTGACATTGAGATAGCTAATACTCCAAAGGAGATTATTATTAATGAAACTCTTAAGATAGTCTTATTAAATAAATATCAAGATAGTTAATAAAAACTTGATACTTTTTTCTTATAATTAGAAATCTATTTTAGATTTAATGAAAATAAGTTTACAGTCACAGAATCCAAGAGTATATAAATTATATTCTATTTATAAGAAGAAGTAAACAAATGGATTTAATCATATTTACAAAACTATTTCGAATATGATAACAAGGATTATATATAATTCACACAAATAATCTTCAACAGTTTTGAAGGTTTTAAAATAGAGATTCATAGAATCTTTAGGAACTTCAATAAGCTAGAGGTAACAAAAGATAAAATCTTTAATCTCAAGCAGATAGGGTTAGCATTAAAGTATACTATAGAATTCCAAAGATATACAAAAACAATTAAGTGGGATAATATTACCATTATAAATTACTACTATAAAGAACTCAAATTAGAAGTTAAACTGGAATTAAAAAGATTTGTTAAGAATACAAATTTGAACAACTTAATCCAAAACTTTATTGAATCAGATAATCATCTTTATAAATATTGACAAAGTTAAAGATTATACAAACCCTAGAGAAATCAAAAGTAAGAGCGTTATTACAAGAATAAGGGTAGATTATATTATAATCCATAGAGATATAGAGACCCCATAGAATTAGATGCTATATATTATATATCTAGAAATAATAATTAGGAAAAAAAATGAAGACGAGAAAATAACTTATGCTTTGAATATGGAAAAGTAGGGCATTAGATAGCCAAATATCGAAGCAAGAAAATAGAAGATAAGAAGGGCAATTTTAAGGGTAAGTTTGGCAAGGGTTAACTTAATATTATCTTTATGTTATAATTATATATCACAAGTATAACAAAACTAGTCACGCTATCACCAGTATATGAAAATGAATTCGAAAAAGAAGAGGAGGCCGAGTACCTTTTATAAATAAACAAAAACCTATAATTAGGAGAATCATAGTCAATCCAGGAAATTGATTAATAGAATTATTATATCTGGAAATTTGAGGATATGGATAAAGGAACTATCAATAAGGATCTTAGTGTAATAAATGCTGAGAAAGAAAAAGCGTACAAGATGAAATATATCGATTAGTACTAAATCCTATAGCTTGGGATTATTACAAATACATTCTTTATAAAGAGGATTAGTGGAGAGCATTTTTAATAGCCAGATAAAGAAAAATTATGGGAAATATTCTATTAATATATATTCGAATAAAATAAAAACAAGAACTTATTCCTATATCGAAAAGTTGGAAAAAAATATTATATCCAAGCTTAAGCCATATTATTATTATTAGTTATAGATATAATAATAAAAGTTATTTAAAGGAACTATTAATATATTTTATAAAAAGACTTACTTAATAATAGAATAAGATTAGGAATAAACACTGTATATCTAAGAAAAAAAGAATCTTAACAAATAATATTTACTAATAAAATTACTCAGAATAATAAGAATAAGCAAGTTATATTACAATTGAATATTACAGAATAGACAGAACAAATCTATTACAAAATCAAGATAAATGGATAAATATAAGTTGTTATAATAGATTCAGGGGTTATAGGAAATTTTATTATACTAGAAACTATAAAATACTTGGGAGTTCTATTTCAATAGAAACAGAATCCCTATTAATTACAATTAGTTGATGGATAACTAGTAAGATTTAACAGGAATGTTTTATAGGAGATATAATTAGTATAAATAAGTATAATCTAATATTCGGAGGTTATATAGTTTGACATTATGCTACTAGGCTAATAATAGATTATTTTAGGGATGTTATGGTTAAGGGTATATAATCTTATAATAGATTAATCACTAGAAATAGTGATATTTGATTAGTATAAAAACAATTACAAAGATATATTCAAGGTATCCATAAAACATAATATACACTAAAAAGAATTAAACACAAGCAATATAGGTAATATAAGATATTTAGTTTAGGATTCTTTATTAAAAGTAAAGGTTAATATACTTTTTTTATAAATACAAAAACCAACGACACAATAAAAAATTGTAATCAAAATAAAAAAGTCTATGATACTAGAATAGTACAAAAAATATAAACATGTTTTCAAGGAACTAGAGATTTATAAGATTTTATCAAAATATAAGCCATAGGATTATAAAATAATATTAAAGGAAAACAAGATGTCTATACACACCCTAATTTATTCAATATCAGTGAATAAGCTAAAAACGCTCAGAAAATATATCAATAATAATTTAGCTAAAGAATGAATCAGAGAATTCGTATTCCAAATAGCCAATTCAATTATATGGGTACCTAAGAAAGATGGGTTTGATAGATTAGTTATAAACTATAAAAAGTTTAATATACTTACAAAAAAGGATCGATATTTATTTTTATTAGTTATGGAATTAAAAGATCAATTAGGCAAAATAACAATATTTATTAAAATGGATCTACACAATAATTATTACTTGATTAGAATAAAAAAAGACGAAAAATAAAAAACCGCTTTCAAAACCAGATATGGGCTATACAAGTATTAAATTATACCATTTAAACTAACCAATATACCAGCTACTTTCATAAAACTTATAAACAATGTGCTATTATATTATCTAGATACTTGTTGTATATGTTACTTGGATGATATCCTAGTATATTCAAATAACAAGGCCCAACATATTAAGGATATTAGTAATATTCTTGAAAGTTTAGTTAAGACTGATTTATTATACAAACTAAGTAAATGCGAATTTTATATTATAGAAACAGAATTCTTAGAATTCATTATATCAAGCTAAAAACTCAAGATAAGCAAGGATAAGATTAAGACAATGCTTGAATAGAAGTAGTTAATTATAATTAAGGAAATATAATCTTTTCTAAAATTCATTAACTTCTATAAAAGATTTATTAAAAGTTATTTAGGGATTACTATATTCTTAACTACATTAACCAAAAAAGATTAAGGAAATTTCGAATAAACTACCAAGGCATAGAAATCATTTGATATACTTAAACAAGTAGTGACAAAAAAACCAATACTATTGATTTTCGATTCAAAAAAAGAAATCATAGTGGAGATGGATTTTTTGGATTTCGCTATAAAAACAGTTTTGAGCTAATTGGACCAAAATGAGAAATAACAACTAATCACATTCTATTCTCGAAAACTATTTTTAGTCAAACTAAATTACAAAATATATAATAAGGAATTATTAGTGATAGTTGATGTATTTAGAGAATGGCAAATTTATTTAAAAGAATCAAAATATATAGTATAGATATATATAGATTATAAGAACTTAGTTTATTTCACTACAACAAAGCAATTAAATAGATAACAGATTAAATAGTTAGAGACTATGACTAATTACAATTTTAAGATTTCATATATTAAAGAATCAGAAAACACTAAAACGAATACTCTTAGCCGAAAATCAGAATATTAGGAAAATAAGTCATACAAATCATACACTATATTTAAGAAAGAAGGTGAATCACTAATTTATAATGTATTACAACTTACAGTTATTTATGTATTGGAAGATAATCATCTCAGAACCAAAATCCAATTATATTATGACAAGGATGCTATAGCTATATGTATATATAAAACAATAGAATCAGGATTCATTATAGTAGATAATATTATATACTTTTGAGGAAAAGTATATATTCCAAATCAAATGATTAAAGAATTTGTGATAGAACAATATGGGTTGCTGGTATATGGATATCAAGGAATTACAAGAATATTTGTAAGAATATAGAAAACCAGTTATTTCCCACAAATGAAAACAATAGTTAAAAAAGTTATTGGAAATTGTGATATTTGTATATGTAATAAATTATTACGATATGTGTTGTATAGTTAGTTCTAGATTCTAGATATACCTTTTCAATTATAGAAATTCATTATATAGAACTTTATAATCAAATTATTACTCTTAAAGAATCTTATTATAGGAATTGAGTATGATGCAATATTCAATATAGTAGATAGGCTAATGAAATTTATATATATAATACTATTCAAAGAAATATAGGATACTGAGCAATTAGTATATATATTTTTTAAGATTATAATAAGTATATATGAAGTATTAGATAAGATAATCTCGAATCGAGATAAGCTTTTTATCTTGAAATTCTAAATTACCTTATTAGTACTTATAAATATCAAAAAAAAGTTATTAATATTTTTTTATTTACAAATAGATGGTTAAACAAAAAGAATCAATCAAACAATAGAAGCATATCTTAAATACTATATAAATTATCAATAAGATAATTGGATAGAGCTATTACCCATAGTACAATTCGTATATAATACATTAGAAACGGAAATTACAAAAATCACTTTAGTACAAGCTAATTTTGGATTTAATTCATAAGTATATAAAATTCTGATATTATAAAAAATCAATACTGAATTAATAATAGTATAAATCAAATAGCTAAAAGATCTTTAGAAATAATTAGTTTTTAATCTAAAATTCATATCTTTCAGAATAGCAATATATTATAATATAAAACATAATATGGAATCTATATTTAAAAAGGGGAATAAAGTTTATTTGTTATAACAAAATATCAAAATCAAGAGATTAAGTAATAAATTCAATTATAGGAAACTAGGATTATTTAAAATTGATAAAATAATAGGAATAATTAATTATCGATTGAAATTATTAAATATAATGAATATCCACCTAGTATTTTATATATCCTTATTTGAACCAATATTATCAAAAGTATTAAATGCGCTATTTATAGAAATTGAATTAGTTAATCCAAATGTTATATACAATGTTGAAATAATATTAAATTGTAAATATATTAGAAATAAGATCAAATATTTGATCAAATAATTAGACTACTTATATTCGGAAAATATATAGGAATTCAAGAAAGATCTCAGCTGTTCTGAGAAACTATGGGCATTCTACCTGAAGTATTCATATCTGTTAATAAAGCTTTAAGCTCTGCCTTAGATAGTAAAGGTAATAAGGGATCGAAAAAGTTAAAGGAAAAAGAACCATTAAAAGTAGGCACAATAGTAATATTCGCTGATTTTTTTTCTATATACTTTTTTTCCAATTTTTCCTTTTTTAATCATTTATTTTCTTTAGCTAGATTGAGCTTTTTTAGTATATAAAAATCTTAACAAATTATTTTCTTTTTATATTTATAAAAAAATTCTTATTATTTATATAATCGAAGAATCTAGATATTAATCTTTTACAATTAAACAAAAGCTTTTTCTTTCTCTAAATATAATAATTCCTACTATCACTTTAAGGATTTATAATTTATAGACATTTTTGATTCAAAACAATAACAACCTTTTTTGTGATGAATATATTTGGCATAATGTTGTAATAAACTATTATTAATAATATAATGATGATTGAATTTGATATACAAATTATAAGAATCTCTTTTAATATTAGAATATTTGATATAATGAATCAAGTTAAGAATATTGTAAACAGAAATTGTTTGTATAGTAGATATAATAAAAAAGAAAATATTATAATTATTTAAATAAACAAAAGGGAAGATGTACTAATATAAATACTTGGGATAAACATTAGGTTAAGAAGAGAATAATATTACAATGGATTAATAATAGACTGTAGAATCATTAATGTATAAACTATAATAATATTATAGGCCTTAATGATTTAATTACAATATACCAGGAAACACTAGGCATCTAAGGAAAGCCTTAGGTATGTATATAATATTAGTTATAGGATATCTTAAAAACCTAGAATATAATTTCTAGGATAATAGATCCTAAAAAAGATAGAATATAGTAAATAAAAAGACTTTATTAGAATTAATAATATCCCAGAGAATTAGTTTTAGAATAAAAGAATAAACTAGGACAATAGAAATCATAGAATAAGTGTTATATGATCAAAAGCTGATCAACTTATTGATCAACTTGTTAATTGATTTGTCAATCAACTTCAATATAAAGATCTATATAGGGAATAGATTTCATTATAATGTAGAGCTTTATGCTCAAGAATAATCATTAGTTTTATTACTATAGTTATAAGAATTGCAATCAGTTATAACCTTATTGAATTCCTATTTAAAGTTTAGTTTAAATCACTTCGAGAGATCTCTAAACACTTCCACGTGACCCTAGAGGCAGCTCCCGTAACAAGAATACAGATTAATCTAGAGAAGATTAAAGTGATTGCTATTTGGACTTATCCCACTATTATAAAAGATATCTAATTATTTCTAGGTTTTTATAATTTTTATTATTAATTTATTAAGGATTATAGTATAATAACAAAACTTTTCCACAAACTTACAAAAGCGAATATTAAATTCCATTTTGATGAAATTTATTAAATTACGTTTGATATATTCAAAAATAAACTCATCTCCACCCCTCTCCTATAGCATTATAATTATATATTATCCTATATATTGGAAACTGATATATCCAATAGTATAGTCGCTAATATACTATTTTAGAAGTATAGTAATAAATAGCTATTAATTGTCTATTTTTCGAAAACGATAGTTGCCATTGAATTAAACTATAAAGTTTATAATAAAGAAATGCTTATAATTATCAAATCCCTAAGCTACTAGAAAGCCAAACTTGCTGAATCCCTGTATCAAATCAAAGTATATATTAATTACAAAGCTCTTAAATATTTTATATTAATCAAATAGCTAAACATTTGTTAAGCACACTAAGCAGAACTATTCATTAATTATAACTTCATTATCATATACCATGCTGAAAAGAACAATCCCCTCGTAAATACACTTATATACCATACCAAAGAGTTGGATTAATAAAATAATATTAAGAAGAAGAATTATTTATAATAATTTATTAAGAATAATTAAATGAATACCAAGATTATACACAAATCTCTGTAGTAAGATCTAGATGTAATTGTAAACATTGATATACATATAATCACCCCGCTTTTCGATATCGTAAATCGAATTATTAAAGTAAATAGATTCTATCCGAATTTAGAAGCTCTATATATACAAATTACCAAAACGCATAAGTATCTCATATTCGAGAAAGGACTTTTGCTTTACAATAATCAACTTTATATATCAAATATCAATAATCTATAAATCTACCTAATTTACAAAATTCATAATTCAATCTCAATTGTATATTTTGATATAAAAAAGATATTTATTTTTTTAACAAAACAATATTATTAGAATAAAATAATTCAAATTATAGAATAATATATATAGAACTATTATTAATACAAATATAACTTTATTCCAAAAGATTATACTCCTAATCTTTTATACTCATTACTTATTCTAATCTGAGCTTAACAATATATCATTATGGATTATTACAATTTCAATAAAAATAAATACAATTACAATAATATATTTATTATAATTGATCGATTTATTAAACAAGCAATTTCTATATCTTATTACAAATTGATTAATTCAAGAGATTAAGTCCGTTTATACTTATATTATGTTTATAAATACTACAAGCCTTTAGAATCTATAATCTCTAATTGTAATCCTTAATTTATATCAATTTTCTAGGAAGAATTCAATAATATTTTAGGAATATAAATTAAGTACTTGATTATTTATTATCCGCAAATTAATAATTAAACTGAGATTTACAATTAATATCTTCAGCAATACTTATAACCTTTTATAAACTATTATTAAGATAACTAATCCAAATTCTTACCAATAATAAACTATACTCAATTTATACTTCTATACAAATCTTTAGACAGCCAATTTCCATATAAAACTTTATATAGCTATCTATTTTGCAATCCCTGGGATTAGAAACTCAATTCAACTCCACCAACCAACAATCTGAATATAACTGATACTAAAAAATATATTAAATATAATAAACTAGCTTTCAATCAAGCAAAAAAGAATATTTTATATATATAAAAAAAGATATTTCAATTAGTCAATTCGTATCACTAACTAATAGACTTCAATATTAGAGATTGGATATAATTTAATATAAGGGACTTTCTAATATAATAACCTTTCAAGAAACTGGATTACTTTATTTAGAGAAAATTCAAGATTATTGGATATACCAGAGATTCTTTTAAATTAGATCTATTACCAATTATAAAAGTTCACCCAATATTTTTATTTAATAAACTCTACAAAACAACTAATAATTCACTTCCCAAATAAATCCTTGAACCACCACCTTTAATAAATATTATCAATAATATTAAATAAGAAATAGAGCATGTTCTTGCTATTAAGAAAATATATAGATAGTTTAAATATAGGATATTATGATTAAATATTGATAACAACCTTATCTAATATTTTACTTCTAATTTAAAAACTATTCTACACCATCTCTATAATTTCTATTTATAAAATTCCATTTTATTAAAACCCTCTGTACACTTATCAAAGTGGATTTGTCTCTACAAAAATAAAAAGAATAATTACAATTTTACAAATAATAATCAATATATAAATAAAAAAGATCAAAAAAACTTTTTTAGTTTATTATTGTAATAAAGAAAATCCTAATCTAACAAAAGGTTAAAAACAACTAAATAAAAACTGAATTGCTAAGCTAATATAATAAAGAAAGTCTTTTCCCCTATTCAATAAGTTTAGATCAAACTAGAAAAAAAGTCTCTATAAGTATTAACGGTTATAGTTGAATAAGATATAATAGTAAAAACTGGATGGTTTAAATCGAAATATTAGTTGAGTTTTTAATTAATAATAATAATAAGAATATATATAATAATTATAAGTTTAAAGATAAGGTGACTTTTAGTTGTAGTATATATGATAATAAGATTGAGCTTATATTTAATTTTATTTAATTACTTGTAAATTACTAAAAGCTTTGTTTTTATTTAAATTATAGCAAGTTGATACTATTACTCTAATTTATTTCCTTATTTTATAGTTTTGGTTATATAATATTTTATATTTTCCTAATTAAAAATAAAAAAAAGTATTTTTTTGAAATATGATTCTTTAGCTTTTTCTGTAAGTTGAGTTAGATAAAAGTTAGTATTGCTATTAATCTCAAAACAATTAGTGCTTATTTTTGCTATATTGCTGTATAGGGCTATAACCAATTGGTACTAAAGAAATATCTTGCGAATATCCCTCTTAGATAAGTATTTATATTTATGCTTGTTGGTTAAGTAAAGTAAGTAGTAAGATTAATTAGATAATTGGTTAGGAAGTTGATAGTAGATGTTATTCCTTTTATTAGAAATACAATTGTGAATATAGTTAGTATAGATTTAGTTGTTCTTTTAAATATATTATTCCTATTGTGATGCTGTTTTCTTTAATAATCTTTTACTTAAAGATTCTAATTTGTTAATATTAATAAAACCAATGCTTTTGTGACGGACTATATCAAATTTATGACTAGATTGATTTTGGTGTAAAGCCTTTAAGATCTCTTTTTCTGTTATAATATTTCTATCAACCCCAAATTCGCGAAAATAATATATCACTATAGCCAACTTATTAGTGAACTTTGTTTTGTAATCTTTAATATAATCGATAAATAGATTGTATTCCTTTTTCAAATTTTGTTTTAATAGATAATAAAATGGATATATTTATTAAGTATATCAAAGATCAACTTTATCTTTAAGTATATTATTCTTAGTATCTATAATTGTATTTATTAGACAAATTGATTACATATCAAGAATAAATAAAAGAAAATCCCACTTATATATATTCTTGTAATCTAGTTTGCTATTACTACCCTCACCCTTATTAGAGTCCCTTCTATCTTTATTATTATCCGATTTCTTTACAAAAACACACTCACTTCGCGCAACAGAAGGGATAGATCCTTTTTTTGTTATAAGCTATTAGGAAAATATATTAATATATTAAATATAAAAGACAAAGTAAATAATTTACTATTATATATACTACTTCTAGTTATCTTAATTGTATTAGTAACAATTTACTCTTACTATTATATTTTGTTAATAGTATTAAAGGTATAACAATAATAAAGAATAAAAGAGAATAAATAATTAAAAAGGATTTTAAAAGAAGAATAGATTTGGAAGTTTTATATACCTCAAAAGATTCGAGCTGTTATTAAACTATAAAATAATTTCCTTTGCTTTTCATATACCTTCCTGTTATAAAAAAAAAAACTTATATATACATTTATTTATTATATTATTTGATTAGATAATAATTGATACTATATTATAATTACTGATTTGAATATTAAATAGATAATTATAAAGCTTGAGAACAAACTTTTCTAAAGAGGGGGATAATATTACAGATTACATTTAATTGTAATATGATTGTTTATATACATGTATATATATATATATAATTATGTGTATATAACTAATATATAGAAACACTTTATAAACACTTTGCTCTTAATTCTATAATTATAGATTCTAAGGATAAATTGTATTCTACTCTCGTAGTTCTTCTAAGGCAAAGTGTCACAAAAAGTATACTATATTTTAAAACTCTTTATTAAATCGAATCATTAATACTTCTGTATACAGATTATATATAAATATAAAAATACTTTTGAAATATAATACATCTTTGATTCATAAGTTTTGAATATTCTTTCAAATTGTTTTTCAATTTCAAAGTAATAGAATTCTCATAAATATTGTTGGTTTTAATGAATTCAATATGCTGTCACGGATCGCGCTCAATCGCAATGCGATCGCTCACGTATACATAGCTAGTATATAGGAGCGCTTTGCTTCCTATTCTGTAGTTGTAGATTCTAAGGATAAGTTGTACCCTGTTCTCGCAGTTCTTTTAAGGCAAAGTGTCATATGTACTAATTTTCTTATTTGTAGTAAGAAATATCAAAGCTTTTGATTGATTATATAATAATACCTAACTGATTAAATTATTTCATATGACTTTTATATATTTCATAGTAAAATTTTACGAGGACTGTTTAAGAAGAGGGATTGTTCAAGGAAATTTATTTTCTTTGGAGGGTCGGAGGTTTTAAGTGGGGTTCGCGGGGAGTTAAGAGGGGGGCTAGTGGACGGCCCTCCAAGACTTAGAGCTACCCAGGTAGTTTGCGTGAGCTGGCGTGGCTGGTAGATCAAAGCTCCCAGGAAAGTTCTGAAATTATTAAAGTAAATTAATTCAACCCATTAATTTGAATGTTATTCCCTGATATCCCCTTGAAAGACTACGTAATCAAGACCACTTGTCGAGAAAGCTGATGAAACATTTTGAAATTCGTAATGGACTGTGGCTCTTATTTGTTTACGTAGATGTGCTATCCAAATTCTGAGGTATATGCGTACTGACGCAGCTAGGATACAAAGTGTATATGTATGTGTGATATGAACCATTTGACATTGAATGCCCAATTGACTTGCTCCTTTCTAGTGCATCACTCATTGACTGTTCTTAATCGAAGCCCGCTGGAATGCGTCAATCAATCTTCGCCGGCCTTGGGCTAACCCTAATTTCAGGCCTTCAGGTCGCCGCAGAATTCCCAGTAAGAACTGTTTATCAATTTGCGTCCAACGATACTTGGTTAGAAAACCTTGTTGTTCGATCCGATGGGGTCATTCTTGCTACCGAGATTGGTCCACCTGCAAGACTTTTGGCTTTTGATCCAACCCAAGAAACCCCCGAAAAGCAGGTCGTCGCTACCTTTACCAACGTTTTGGGTCTCACTGGAATCACTGAAGGTGCTCGCAATGTTTTTTATATCACTGGCGCCAACACTACTTCTGCTACCATTCGTGATCCACCCAAAAACGCTACCCAGGTATGGCGTGTTGATTACTCTGGTAACACAACGGAACCAGTTATAACTCACGTCGCAAGCCCCACTTATCCAACCATTATCGACTTCAATGGCCTAGCCGCATATAATGAATCCATCATCCTCGCTTCTGCCAGCCACGACAATGCCATCGCTGCCGTCGATGTTGAGACTGGGAGAACTTGGGTAGCGTTTGAGGATGATTTAATGAGCAGTATCAATGGTATCAAGATCCAAGATGGTTATATATATTGGACTGCTGGTTCCGACTTTTGCCGTGCAGAGTTGTACTCCAATTTTACTATCAGTACTGCTGAAGTGATTGCCCTCGGCTCGGAAGACGGTTCCTCTTTAAACTTTGACGATTTCGCCCTATCCCCCAACGGCTGGAAGACCAATCAAACAAATAGCGAGGGTCATAAATATGCATACCTCGCTACATCCGTTAACAACTCAATTATGGAGATCAGCTTCGATGCTAAGACTGGTGGTAATAATGAGACTGCTATTATTGCTGGTGCTCTGGACTCAACCAAAATTGCTGAGCCGACTGGTGCCGCATTTGGTCGTGCCCAAGGTCAACTCAACAAGCTGTACGTTACAACTGGTGGTGGTAGTGGAATGAATGTTGATGTGGATGGTGTCGAGACTGCAGTAGGAGCTCAATTGCTTGAGATAACCCTCGCCTAGAAAGCATTAAGCTGTATAATTTACTGTTGACTTGAAGATTCAAGGTTATTAGACTTTTAGTATAAGTCAATGCTAGAGCTCTTTGATTATTATAATATTCAATAATTATTACAAATTAAATCCAGAAAGTTTTGACGAGTTTCTTACTACTAAAATAGAAACAAAAGTACCTAGAGATTTCCAAAGATCCAGCCTATCGTTCTTTCAAACCACAACGGAATGAAGTTTCCCTTTCGAATCGCCGAGGATCTTGTACTTGACCCAGCACCATTCAATTTTCGTTCAACGGATAAACTCGAGAGGTTTCTTTCAAAAAGTCATGAATTCTTCATAGTAAGTGAGGACCCCGGAGAAGCTTTCGTTCTCAAGCTCTAGATATGTGAGACAATTCCGCCAAGGCTTAAAAAGGAATGTGGGTATTCTCCTGACTTCCACCAGAATTATGAGGGATATTACGCGCCAAATTGACCTATCATCTCAGGATACAGTTATGGCGGGGTTGGAGATTCTTGTGATTGTTATTGACTTATCGCTACTGCCATAATAAAAGTCGACCCGTGTGACTTTGGAATTTGGTCAAAGGTTTCAGTACCACGTACATGCCATAAGTTTGAACATATAAAGATCACAATGCATCCTTCAATCATGAAGATATACACACGAGTGTCTGCTACAATCTCTCTCCTTCAATATGACACGAGTCTCAAATCTAGCTCAGCTCTTTTGCGCGTTTGTTTTTGCGGCTCAAGTACATGCTACCAATCTTCCACCACCATTGCAACCTGATAAACGATCTACAGTTCGTCCCTCTCCAATTGTAGATGATATCCCTATAACATGTACCACATCGGCCATTAGTATAGGATGTGGAAGTATGTATATCGACTTTCTAATTCTTTTTTTGTCTTAATTTTTGTTACTATCCCATTCTTTAAATTCAAAAACACAATAGCTCTTTCCCTCTTTATCAATATCTAACTTTCTCTAATAGAAAATGCTTGCCAGAGTGCCTGGGCAACAGCTTTCACGTCCTCTAATGCCTACGTGCAATCATTCTGTTCCTCATTTACCTCCCCAGGACGCAGGAATACTCTTTCATTTGACAAGAAGGGACCCGCAGGCGCATGTACAAAAGGTCTTGGAAATGCTACCATCCAGTCCTCCATCTCATCAGTTTGTTCTTGCTACGCTGGCCCCGGAGTTCCAACTACAGCATTCGTAACGATCTGTCCTACCTGTCCACCCATTCAAACACAAATCGTCACAACATCTGTACCCACTACCACTACTATCGTTAGAACTGCTGACGGAATTGTCAAGACAGTGACCACCATTATAACACTAGTCGCCGACCAGGTACTATCAAATCGCATTACTACCACAACCACACAATTCATAACGCGTTCAGATCTCTCGGCACCTTGTACCACCACCACAAATGTCCTAACTACAACTTTAGTAACAGCCATCTACGACTACTTCACGTATATAACCACTACCTACCAGGCAGGTCGTTATCCATGTGACACTACTCCTTGGCAATCACCGAGCGCCACTACCATTACAGTGTACACACCATACTGTGATCAAATATCCGAACGAATCATTACAATAACCAGTACCGTCACTGCCGGTCTTCCATTTCTACCTCCATCGCCCGCAATATGTGAACCAATGACTACAACAACGGTAACTTTAGTAATCGATCCTATGCCCATCGAACACACGACCACCGAGACGATAACGGCTGGAATATGCACGGCTACGACGACAGAGACAAGCACCACTACTTGGGATGATAATGGGTTTTGGCCCACACCTACTCCGTCGACTTTCTCGCCAATTATAATTGATGATGAGGGATTGACTTGGAGGGATAGTTTGGTGGTGTCAAGCCAGGCTACTAGCACAAGTATTCAGTAAGAGAAGAGGAAGATTAATTCTTGGGGCTAGAACGAGATATCTATCATTGAAAGTGAAAGATAGCTCTCGAGGGCAGACATGGGGATTTGATAGGATCTATAAAAATTTGGCATGAAAAAAAATGGAGGATGTTGATTTTGAAGTTTGATTTCTTGAATTGATTTTGTTTCTTTAAACCCTGATAGATCATAAAGCTCACTTGAATGGGATATCATTGTGCGACGTTGAAGAACTCACTTTTTGATATCAGGAAAAATAGCGAATTGAAACAAGTAAAGCATATTAAATACAAAAAAGCAAAAACGCCGAAACCCAAAACTCCAAAAACAAAAGACAAAACAAAAGAAGAAAAAGGAAAAAGAAAAGAAAAAAATACTATACATCCATATCCACCCACTCACCCAACCAACCATCCACCTCCCCCTCCACCCATCCCGCTACCACTTCCACCACCTCATCCACCCACTCAACCCCCTCCCCCCCTTACCCCCGCAATATAGTTGTTTGCCCGAAGGCGGAGAAACAGAAGCAGAACATAAGCTCCGAAGAGCGCGAAAAAAGAGAAGAAAATAATCTTCTGTGCCCGAAGGCGCCAATGACGTTCCCGAAGGCCCATCTCTCGCTCCCGAAGGAGGATTTCTCTTTCCCGGAACCCCGGGGCCAGCCTCATTTCCCTCATTCGGAGATAATGATTCTGATGGTATGATTAGAAATTGGATATTCAAAAGTAGGTTTGCAAGGATTGCTTACAAACTCCATTTGCTCCAGTTGGAGCTCGGCAGCCCGCACCGTCTCCCCCTCTCGCAGTTGGTGTTCCTGAATGTGGTATTAGCTTTGGGAAAATACAGAAGCTTTACACAACTGAGTGATTGAGGTGGTTTAGGTCATTTTGAACAATCACTTGATTGCAGACCATCAGAGCAAGTCGGACAATCAGACGTGTTCATACCACCAGATGGATCGAAACAATCAGAGACGGGGAGGCAAGAGTAACTTACAAATAAAAGGAGATCCCTCTCCTTCTCCACGGAACGACCATCACCTTGGTTCGTCAAATGTATGTGGTGATGGTCGTTGGTGAGGGTCGGAGGAAGAGAGGAAATCTCCGCCGCGGCACCCCGACGAAGTTCGGAGCGAGGTTGGTGTCTTCGACGATTCTATATAAGACAGCTGTCAGCAATGTGCAATGCTGAGTAAGACACCAATGTCTGACCCAAGGCCCAGCATCTCAAGAGAGTGTTCAAGATTGTCTCTGAGCCGGCGACACACTCACAGCCCAAAGGAACGAACGGAAGCGGACTGGCCGGTGAAACACGCACAGCACAGGACCATAGTACTCGGCAAGCTCCTAACGCTCCGCTCGGGTGAAACTGCATCCCGAGCGTCCAACTATGCCTACTTTTAAAAGTAGGATTTCGCTTCTTTTTTGAACAACTGCTTCATACAAGGCAACTGCTCCTTGAAAAGTCTGAGGACGACTCCCCCATACCAAAGTAGGCTGGTTTGATGATCCCACTGATCCAATAGGAGTCGTACATGCCCAAGTCATTCAAAGAGGAGGAATGGTAATGCAACTCCCATTGGGGATATTACGCCATGTATATAGAGAAAGTGAAGGCTGGCAGACCAAGGGAGAGACATTATGAAATGGTGTCTTACCTCTGATCCCGACATAATGGTTGTTGTTGTTGTTGTTGTTGCTGCTGCTATTGTAGTTCTTTTATTGTTGTCGTGGATTGTTCTATTCAAAAATTAGCAAAGTGAAATACCAGAGAGATTTGGATCATTGGAAAAAGAGGATACGTACACTTTGAAAATCGAGATCGGGCCAAAAAGGAAAAGAAAAGAAGAGTAGAAAAGTTGGAGGGAAGATAAATACTTACAGATTCTGATTTCCAGACTACTAAAAGTTTGTTGACAACGCGATGTACTTTGAAAGTATAATTTTGTTAGTTTTGTGCGACGAGCCCGACGCTAACGGTTGTCATGTAACGGGTAGTCAAAATCGCTCTCACTTTTAATAGTCTATAAAGTGAAATGGCTACGAGCACTTAGTTGACCATTCCATTTGCTTACTGACTGAACTCATTCGAGTAGCTAAAAAAAATGCTCTAGAACTTAGAGAATGGTTAGTGCATACATGCTTGTTATAATCATAGATCCCAAGCCATTTGTGAAAGTAAAATATACTTGCGTATCACAAGTTTGATGACCTTTGAAGCTGAAGTGAATTGCGGGATCATTCGGTACACTAGGAAATCTACATCGTAGCATGAAGGAAAAACTTTAGTATGTACCTTAAAAAAATCTGCAAATTAAAGCCCATTGCAATCGATTTGTTCAAGTGATTTGAACATGATGATACTTACTTCTACCTAGCGATTTCAGATCTACATGTAGACGCATCCCCAATTCCTGCCGAAAGAAAGTATATATCCAAAAGCCAAGTCTAGAGGATCGAAATATTTGGAACCATTTGGTTTGATTTCCTAGCTTCCGAACGGACCGGTTCTTTCCAATAATTTTCAATATCTACTTAAAATGACGCTAAATCATAGTAGTACATCACACTAAAAGTGACAGAAGTCAGACGCGACTAGAAAAATTCTAAACGCGTCGCGTAAACATAAAATCCGGCAGGCGCTTACGTTAACAGGAATATATATTAATAAAATAGGATAGTAAGAGCTCATCTAATTGGATACGACGACACGGACTAAGCTCAATCACTAAGCTAAATATGCCAAAAAGAGAAAGTACCTAGAACTACTCTCCATTACTAAAATGACATTATTCTGCACGATAGGAGTAATGATATACCATCAGGATAAGGCTGAAAGCAAGAACTCGCGAGCCTTACCTAGGTCAATACCGCACAGAGCACTCTTCCATTAAGAAAGCCAGAGCTATACAACCTTCAAGTCATATTGAGGTTCTCTCGCTTAGCATCAAATTCTTACATAAGCATTATACAATCGAACTGGTGAATATTTGTTGTAGATACCGAAGTACGCATCCTGAAAAGTGAACAATACAGAGGTGAAACAGAGCTAACGGAACTCCTAATCCGATGATTAATGTTATACTACTTCCAATTGATCAATCGACTTTGTACAGGAATGTACTTAAATTCAAAAAGACATCTAATGCGTTGTCAAAGTGAATCAACATCATCCTGAACTTACAGCTGATAAGTGGTAAATAAAACAGAACCACTATATTTCAACAGAAATTCACTTCAGTCTTACCTTGATGTACTATGATTCGAGAGCGCTTGGTACATTGAAATATTGTTGTTGATGATGAAGGGGTGCACAAAAGCATGCAATTTGAATAAGACTTTATCCCAATGCACTCTACTCAAAGACCAACGGTATCTACATCATTACAAAGGGAATCAATGCCACCTACACGTTCAAGCATCGCACTACTCTCAAAACTTCGCGAAGTTACAACATCAACTGCATTATTTGTTCGACTAGTTCCTAGCAATCTTCAGCTCGCTATATATCTTACACTTCGACTTTATATCAATTCCCTATCATTCTTCTAACAAAACGCCCTAAAAGTAAATTGGTATTCCCGCCCATCCATTAATGCAAGCAAGCTCTCCCATGCAATCCCACCTTTTCATGCGCCGTTTATGACCCAGTTATCCATGAATTTACATGTTCATGGTCTGTCCCGCTATATAAATTATGCAAATCGTAATCGTACATGCCAAAGTGATAGCTTAAAGAAAGTTTGAAAAGAAATTTGTGTGCCTTTAATCCTCAATAAGTTGACCTAATATCAAGCTTTGAATCATGACCTCATCATTGACAACCCTGATGCGTTTAGGCAATGGTGATGAAGCATCCTCTTCCTGTATCGAAGCTCGCTTTCGTTTTCGGCCACCACCTGAAGTGCTTGCTGGGGTGTTTTCGAACACAGCTGCCTCCACATCTTGCTTTCTATCCACATAAAGCCAATCGTAGCTGGCATTTTTGCTCTCTGCATCGAGAAGCATTTCTCTTGCTTGTTTGAGATCTTGTGCCTGGCCAAGGCGGGTTGGGCCAAGAGCACGAGTCAGAAATGTGTAGGGTTTTCGCTTCTCGCTAGCTTTTCCCTTTCCAGTAACGATCAAGATAGATTTCCCATCGAGCAGTTTTAATCTCTGAGTGAAAGTATCATTTAGATTTGCATTAGAAGCAGAATATGGGCGTAAATATCGACTTTTCACAGCTCCACCTAGGAATGAAGAGTTCCCAGCCGAGAGAAGATATGGTAGCCAATCGATAATAGTGCATTTTTCAACACAATGAGAAATCCATCGTCCTGAGATACATGGGAGTCCAAGAGCCAACGCTTGCATGTATTTGGCCTTTCTCGAATGCTCATCCGCAATTAGGGCGACGAAACCAATGTTGACCTCCGAAGAAGCAATCTCAAGCTCCGCCTCTCCAATCTCACTATTTCCGGCACGAGATTTGGAGGGGGAATCGTCGGAGTAAACAGGTTTTCGAATCCGTCGTCTAATATTCGACCACCGTGTTGTTTGATTAAACGGATCGCGACTTGTTTATCTTTATCTGCATCCACGTATGAGACAGCGAAAGCCATCCCCTCGAATAGACTGTCCATTGATTTCTTACTATCCAATGAGGGTTTTGAAGGCGGTGTTGATAGTGCCAGTGGATCTTCACTTTCTGCCTGTGATGGCAGAATTGATTTTCGATTCAAGAGAGGTGCTGGAATGGAATGTTCTTGCTCTTCCGGGCTCACAGAGCTTCGGGTATGATGTATTTTCGTAGCTGGTAAATCAGTTCCTCCGATTGATCCCTTGACCTTATTAGCAGCACTGCCTCTCGGTCGACCTCTTGATCGACCTCTTGTGATTGAGTTAGAATTAGAAACGGATGGAGATACCAAATCTGACTCAGCAGTATATGAAAGAGGATTCGAAACTGTAGACGACACACTCGAAAGCCTAGTATTTCGAGCAACTATTGGTTCTTGCTGTGTGATAGGCGGCTTTCCGAATTGGCCCTTCGAGAATCGAGTAGATTTACGTGGCGTTCTTTGATGTACGCTTTCTTGCTCTCTTTTTGTGGGTGGAAGTTGTGCCTCTTCAGTCGGGGCTGTTTCGGAAAGCTTCGCATCATGTTCACTTGAAGCCAACGGAGAAGAAACATCTTCCAGAGCAGTCTTGGAAGTATCTGCTGAAAAGTTTGAGTTAGAAGGCTCAGTCGACAGCTCTCTTTCGGAGACCTCTCGAAATGCGGAAGTCAAAGCAACTTTTGCGGCAGGAGTCGGAGGTTCTATTGTACTGGGAGCCGATGAAAGCCCTGACGAGGCTGTAGCAGCAGAACCGTTAGGGATGATTTCGAAGGGATGAGGCGTAGTAGCTAGCGGTGGTCGAAACTGAGATTGGCGTTTCGGGGTATGATAACTAGATACACCAATGACCTCGTTAAACTCATCATCCATGTTAAATCCTGGCAAGTCATCTAACTCCTCATTATTCGCTATGCTGAGAGAGATTTCTGCGATCTCAGTCATAGGAATTAATCTATCAGTAGCTGGACTAGTCTCCGGGACAGTGAAGGCGACACCGTCCAAGGGTGGATTCTGTATTTGGGTGAGAGGTCCTTCAACAACGTCGCTGACAGATACTTCATTAGGTGATGCAGTTATATTCTGGTCGGACGGGGCTGGTAAAGAAGGATCGTTTTCTTGAATATCATCTGCATGAACGACGTTTTTGCTTTCCAAAGGCTGGTTTCGATCCTGGCTGAGAGGCTGTTGAAGCTTTCTTGGTAGCCTCTGAGATGAGCTCGTTGATTCCGGCCCTGCCATTTCAACATCAGAGCAGGCTGGCGCTCGATTTCGTGGTCCGGATACTGGAGAACTTGTAACAAGATTGCTTGACAAAGGAACACCTTGGGAATCAGCAATCATGTCCTGCTGTGTTGGTTGGGTGCCTCGTGCATCAAAGCCTTCACACTGGGCTACATAGTCCTCCTGCATACTTCGGCGTCGGCCACTAGCAGGAACCTCCACAGCGATCGGAGTTGACTCGAAGACTTGGGGTGTATGAGAAGATGTCACTTCTGAAGACTTGCGCTGATGATTAATTGACCTTTGGTGTGTACTAGCTGTGACAGGAATAGAATTGACTTCTTTCGCGGAATTCGGTCTATCCGATGGAGTTGGTCTTCTCCTAGACAAGGCTGTCTGCGCGCGTAACTTCTTTTTCTCTCTCGCTGCTTTTTGGAACTTCTTAGGTAGTGCCTCAATGTCAGAATCCGAGTCCGAGCCAGAAGATACCTCACGTGCGATTAAGTTGTTTCTTCTTTCTTGGGACTCCTTCATAGGTATGTATGTATCCTGAGGTTCACGTACCAACGTTAATTCTCGAAGAGCAGAATTAAAGGATTGGATTTTATTTGACACTGGGGCAGATTCAATTGGAATAGATGTCTCGGTAGATGTTGAGCGGTCAAGAGATTGCTCAGATTGTTGGGTAGTTGCGCTAGCGACCTCCGAGCGTCGTACAAGTGGTGAGGGTTCAACTTCCTGTGAGGATCGATAGCCGTTAAAAACATCAGGCGATGGCCTGGAGGAAGTGGGACTGCCACCAAGTCGACCAATCGATGATGGTTGTGTTGCGCCAAAGAGCTCATGCTGCTTCATCACACTACCCTTTTCAGAAAATGGGTTGACCGACGGAGCCGGAGTCTGAGGGTCAAGAAGAGTTTCTTGCTCAGGATCTTGAGTACTATGAATAGCAGGCGGATCTTCTGATTGGAGATAACCTTCATCAGGTACCGACGCTGGTTGAAATGTATCAAAGTTTATGTGCCCCGTGTCATTCTCTTCATATGTACGTGCAGTCGACTCAGTATGTGTATAATTGGGGTCTCCTGATATGCCATTTGATCGTGGGCCTGGCAGATCATCCCGTTCGAATGGAATCGGTGGGCTTGAAGAAAATTGGGTATTTGTTCCAAGCACAGCCTGGTCTTTTAACCTTTGCAATTCTAAGGCTTCGTAAAGAGACTCAGGATTCTCTTGAGTCAAAGATAAATTGCTCTTCTGCGTATATTCCTCGCTCTCCATTGCTCTTAATTGGGCACAAGGCAAGGGAAATGGGTTGCCGTTAATATCGAATGGCCTCAAATTTTTTCCATTGTCTCGCTTTACTGTTGGGAATACTGGTAGGCCATCTCTCGTTCGTTCGTATTTATGTACAGGATTTGGATGTAATGGACTTTCTCCGTATGCTCGAGCATTAATTTCGGAGTCTCTGGCGGTCCTTATCTCATGAAAAACTTCCTGGGCTTGATTGTGGTGTTTTCCATGTCCTGTAACATGACGTTCATTGTTTGTCGCGTCGATATTATATCTAAAATTGCTTGACGCGACGACGGGAAATGACATATCGTTATCCGCGGCTGGTCTCTCGGACTACTCTATTGGTGAAGATAAAATGTCAATGCTGCCCTTGCAAGCTTTTGCCATGCTGTGATTTGTGGAATGGTGGTTGCAGAGTGTGAAAGCGGAGAACAATCAAATCAGTACATATGTGGCTTACCGATATGATTTCTTCTTGCAGTTGCAGACACCTCTGCGTATCAAATTCCTCTGCACCATCTCCATTCAAAGCCGCCGTGGCGGCCAAACTGACAGATTTAAACATGATGATATTCTCATATTCAAGATCAAATTGGTCGGTCAGTTTAAAGCAGTAGTTGAGGTCGAAGTATAAGTAAAATGTTATCTTGAGTAGAATGATGAAGAGAAAATGCTGTAAGATAAGATTATCGTGGCGAAAGAAGTAAAACGCGACGAGCTTTTAAGGTTTTGGTGCGTCAACACGTGATCCATTAAATGTTTCCATTGCCCCAGCTAATACCAAAAAGAAGGCACTAACAGTACAGGAGAATCTGGATGAATCACAATGATTGGAACAATGCAAGACACCTACAGTACATGAATTTTTTCATCATATTCAACTTCTGCACACTAACAAGTAGGAACTACATTGGATATCTGAGACAAATTTAAGAAGCATCTGAATATCTCCTTGATCAGAAATCTCCAAGTTGTAGTTGGAGATACACTTAACAACTTATCCAATTTCCAAATAAAAAGAGGAGTACCCCATGCTGGCACAGGCTTCTATAAAATTCATCTATAGGTAGAGCAATCTTTGATGCTGACTCCATACTCCCTTATATCGTCCACTGAATACCTCTCATTGTTGACCGAGAATCAAACATCTGAACGTCTTCCTTAGCAGGCCCATTCCACATATATATGTGATATCTGTATATCGAAATCATTTGACAGCATCATCCAGTTGTCGACGAACTCCCTTTTGGCGGCTTGCTTTTTGTGTTGTGGTGTGATCAAGTGATCCATTCGTGTGGGAGACATACATCTTCCACTTCGCAAACTCAATGCATTCTAAAAGCTGATGTGCCGCAAATCCCTCCCATTTGACTACCTAGTGTCATGATAATATGATTTGAACCTCTGGATATAGCTTGATATAAGAGAGGAAAACACTTTTGACGTGAAAGTACAAATTTGACTCAAACTTTGGACGCAGGCTAATAGGATACAGCGATTATGGCGCAACGATACTACATTCACTTAACAATATGGTATGTTGATGTTGGCAAGTGATTCGATGGTTCTCCGTATCGAGTGGCACCACTATGTGTTCTTACCAGCTTATAGTCCTCCACCTTCCCCCATCCACCTCTTTGTTCTTCTCTTCATACATCCACCTTCACCTCTTCCTCCCTCCTTCTTCCTCAAACCCCCACCACCAAAGTTTCGCCCTAAGTTCTCAGTTATTGTTCTCTTATCCTCTTGTCCAAACGGTATTGAGATTACTGAACTCATTGCAAAATATCAACAGAAGCCGAAAGCCAGGACATGTACAAATTTACTCCTATCAATGACGGCATGGATTGTGATACTAAGGAGATATATGAGGTCAAGCAAGATCGATACGGCAATACCACTTGGTCTGCAAAGTATCCTGATGATGTGGAAGATGCTGCTGAGAATAAGGAGACCGCCCGTTATGCTATTCTTGTACGCTACAGGAAATGCTTCGATTTTCGCAAGAAAATGGGAATACACAGTATCATCATCCAGACTCCATTGCTCAAGAGAGTTCTGAACAAAGTTATTAAGAATTATCCGGGTGTAACTACAAGTTTGTAGAGACTTGAATTCAAATCTCCCTTCAATCCACTCGTTCATCGCTAGATCCAGCTGTCGCAGGCTATTCATAACGAGAAATGCGAAGATACAAAAGCTCATATTGTTCTTTTACAAAAGATTCTCGAATCAGAACTCAAAAACGTGATCAAGGCCAGAATTGACTACATCGAAAACAAAATTGTCACTTACGATCACCTTTAGACAATTTTCCAACCAGGTTGCATATTATACAAGCAAATATGGGGTCGTGATTCTGCTGTAAAGTTTGCTTATGACGTTCCTATCAACGATGAGAAGAAAGGACACCTCTATCGAGTATACTGCCAGATGGTGAATTTGGATGGTGAAAAGTTTGGCTTTGACTTGGTTCATTGCGATATTTCAGAGTTTGTATGCACGGCCGAGATCGATACACTTCCTGTCTTTCCACTCGAGTTTCATCCAGATTGAAAGAAGATCAAGGCTGAGCTTTTCAAACGTGGAAAGCTATTTGAACAATATCGTGGTTATAATTTTAGATATTATAAGTCTTTTGCCATTGGTGAAGATCCTGGATTTGGCTGCCCTACCAAAGTAACTGTTGATAGTCGTATCAACATGTAAGTATTTCCTTCCATCGCAGCTGACAATCACTGATCAATACTGACATCAGTGATACCCGTGCATATGGCAAATTCAATCCCAACAAAGTTTCGTCCCTCAAGGCTCTTGACCACAAGAAGGCTTCTGAAATTGTCGATCTAGAGTCAGACTATGAAAAAGATGAGTTCGAGCTGTACAAGGACGAAGTCGATTACTCTCCTAGAAACTCAACTTTGAAAACTGATAAGAATTCTACCTGTTCACCATCAAACCCCTCAGCCAGAACATCTCATAATTTGTTCCCCTCTTCTCAAAGGATATGCGCTAAAAGAGAAACTTTGGCTCGAATTCTTGGTTGATGTTCCGACCGACATCGTCTGGAGCAACTCTACATTTCAAAGTTTAGTTCTTCCTCCTTCAACAAAAGAACTAATTCACGCCATCGCAACTTCTCAGATCTCAAACTCTTCGAAGTTCGATGATGTCATTAGCGGCAAGGGCAAAGGCATAATTTTTTTGCTTTCGGGTAGCCCTGGTATTGGGAAGCCCTTGACTGCCGAATCTGTTGCCGAGCAAATGCGAATTCCACTCTACATGCTTTTGGCCGGTGACTTGGGCACAGAATCTAAAGACGTTGAGTCAACTTTGCGTTCAGTCCTTCAGATGGTCACCAGTTGGAATGCGGTCCTATTGTTGGACGAATGTGATGTTTTCCTAGAGGCACTAACTTCAAACTCACTTGAGCGGAACAAGATTGTTTCGATCTTCTTTCGAACATTTGAATATTATGAAGAGATCTTATTCATGACTACAAATCGTGTAAACAATATTGATCCCGCTTTCAAATCACGCATTCATTTAAGTATGGATTAAAAGCATTTGGATAAAAATGCTAGAGAGAAGATTTGGAGAAACTTTCTATCGCGTGGAGAGGATCAAGAACATGATCATCAAATCACTGATGTTGAGATTGGCAAATTGGCGGACTCAAACATCAATGGAAGACAAATTAACAATGTTTTGAAGACGGCTAAGTTGCTCGCTAGCCACGAGGGTGAGCTTCTCAAGTTGGAACATGTTCGAACAGTTATGAGTGTGGAGGGAAATAAAGCACGTATGCATATTCATGTGTCTAACGGTCTGGTACCAGCTTAGGATCATATGAAGTGGATTGGACATGTGTCTTGTCTCGTATTTAACAAGTTTAGGATATTACTTGACAATACACGCGCGTTTAACTTTGAGTGTTCGAGGAAGCTTCATACATTCAATTCCAAGAAAATCCATAATTTTGAGTGACAATCCACTAAGCCCTTAATACGTACAATTTCCAAAGTAAATCCAGTATTCTAAAATACTCGAGTCATTCAATCAAATACAAAAATTGAAAGTTCTTGACCGCCCAATCTCCATCTCCCACTTCAATACCGCCATTCGTATCTATCTCCTCATTCTCCAAGCCATCAGCAACCCAATCTCGTATCCTTCACGTGAATCACGAGCCATATCGTATTGTAGCACCGCACGCTCTCAGCCTCAACGCGGATCCGTCTTGGCGGTAAGCGGGACATCAGACCATGACTTCATCGCTTAACAAAACATCACGAACCTCACTAATCCGCCCGCATCACCTGAAGAATAGTTTCTCCACATCACGCCATAGCGCGTGAATTGTCAAACTATTTATAACACTCTCAAATATTTTCGTGATTTTAAGCTTTTGGCTGCTGGGGACTTCTACTAGTTTGTGTTTCTTACGATATTTGTGCTTTTTGGGAGGAGAGCTGAGTTTAAGTGATGATGCTCGTATTTCGGATTTGATAATTATTACATGGAATTTGAACACGTTAGTGAGATATCGGGAGAGCTTGGGTCTTGGATAGTGGGTGATGAGTGACGGGTACGAGCAATGATCTGACAGCGCAACGACAACGGGTTGATGGAATTAAGCTTATGATGTATGCTTATTGGTATCTTGAAGATGGACTAGCACAGTATACGTAAGTAAGGAATGACATGACAGTCTGGGGAAATAGAGTATATAAACTCAGGATACTTCCTGAAGTCAAGGGGTTTTTCACCATCACCATCACTATCTCATACACTCAATCCTCAATCCAAGCTCTCCAAACATATTCAAACATTCAAAATGCAATTCTCCACCATTTTGACTCTTGGTCTCGCAGCTATCAGCGGAGTCGCAGCTGCGCCTGCCAGTTACTTCGATGTTGATATTACATTTATCGGTGGTCCAGCGAGTTACAGTTTGACCGTTCCTGCGGATGGACAATTTCACGCTACTAGTACATCTCCCTTCCTATCTCCCTTGATTCCCCCTCCTTCCTTTTCCCTCTTTCACTTCCACCCTTTGAGTCTCCCCAAAAAACTAACTTTGTACTCACAGACAACCCCCTCTCCATTTCCCTCATCCGCTCCTCCAACTTCGACGTCTTTAATCTCTGCACTTTCTACCATGATAATGCTGTCGCATTAGTGAATAATGGAGGCATTGTTAGTGTGGGTCCTCCAACACCCATTACGGGGGTGAGCTGCCAAGTGACGGATGAGAGGTGCATTCCTAATTATAGTGAGTCTTCTTACTTTCTTCCAGAATTTTGCGTTGGGGCTTGGAGAGTTGTTTGTGAAGAATGGAAAAAGTGATAGACGAGAAGAAATAGAGTGTGTGGCCGTGATAAAACGAGGTAAAAGGAGAGAAATAGTAAGAAAAATGCTAATCTCATGATACTAGGCGATTGCTACAGGAACGGACAATTCCTCGGATCATGCTGTGATGGATTCTGTGCAGCGAATAAGTGTAGACCTTTCTCTGGGGTTTAAATCTTCACCCTCGTGGCCGAGTGTACTGTGAGGTGTTTTTAAGATGATGGAACTCAGAAGTCATTAATCGCAGGCGTGAAATTGTTCAGAGGAATTGAGGAAGGGGGGGGGGAATTGAGATTTGCACACTTTTTCAGTGTTTTTGAATTGAGGGGTTTGAATTTAGGTTTCGAATCATTGTTTGTATCGTTTCTATCTAGTTGAATGTAATGAATCTTAGAATAACAGCATTTATGAAGCAATTGTTTAGCAAAGGTGTATCTAAAAGCTGATCGATTCAAATCTTATTCTCCATATGCGTCTTTTCCAATCACATAGGCTATAATCATACAAAGAATTTGTGAACGGTGAGCAAGAAGAAGTGACTCATCATTCAGACCAAGGGTTGAATAAATTATCTGGGCTTTGATTCAAGCGTCCCCTATTTGGAATTTCGGCAATTAATCAACTCAAGATGAAACTTTCCAGCCAGTAACAATGCAACTACCTAAGCAGGACGAATATTACAGTCTCTAAGTTAGGAGATTCAAGCATTTTTGCGTCTGATGAGTTAAAAAAAAACAAGTATAGATGGTATTCCTCGCGAAGACTTTCGTTGGCTGAAACAAAAATCAGTAACCCAGGACCAATCAATTATTATTCCGCATCAGACAATGCTATGTGACTTTGTAAGTTCCGTGTAGAAGATGAAGGATTCGTCCGTCTTGCCCCACCAAGTATATGAGGAGCTCTGCCAAAAGCTGCATGGATGTTATTGGCTGCAGGTGGAAGTAAGGGATGGTATAGTTACATTGCGTGAGGTGGGATGAGGGGTAAAGTACTCGAGCATATTACTTTATAGCCACAGCACTCTTCCTGGAAATATCCAAATGAACACCATTCTCTCCCAGACCTCTTCGGCATTCATATCTCCTCAAAATGCAATTCCTCAAATTTCTGGTCCTTTCAACGGGGCTGATATCGCACGCTATCTCCTCAGAATCCTCAAAGTGTCCCAACATCTCTCCCGGTCCAGCATCCTCATTCCAACTCGCGGAACTTCTACCCATATCCCCTCTCACAGATCACATTGCTACAGAGACTATCCGTAACATATTATCTCTATATGCATTTGCCATTGACGGACGGAATGTAAGATAAAGATGAAAAATCTACTTTCCCTATGACTTCTCAATACCCACTCCAAAATGTCAAGTAATTAAAGCCTAACACCCCATTCCCTAACCCAGTGGCAAGCATTCTCCCGGGTTTTTGCCCCAGACGCCCGAGCGAATTATTCAGAGCCCCTACCTGTTCTCTATGGACTCAAAAATATAACCGATGCTGTTGCAGCCCAAATAACCCAATTCTCAGGGACGCATCATAGATACAGTACCCAATATATAGCGATATGTTCGCCTACGTCAGCGATCTCCATAACGTATCTTGAAGCTAGCCATTTTTTCTTACCGCATACGTCGCCGGCTATAGAGGATGATAGTCATACCCTTTTTGCGACAGGGAGGTATGAAGATACGTGGAAGAAGGCGAATGGAACTTGGAAGATTGTGAATCGAAATTTAGTTTTTATTGTGAGTAATGAAGTGAGGAATATTGATGGTGAAGGGGGTGGTACTAATACTCTGAATAGGGACCGTTCATCTTGGATGCTGCGTAAGAGCTTAATTTTGGGTTTTCCAACTCTGCTTGAAGTTAGTAGCTTTGATAAGTATTGGAAACCAAGATTCTCAGACTTTCAGAAGTATAAACATTGGGTAGAATATGCTTTGGAGAGTCGTATAGAAGAGTGACCGGAAAAGAACTTCTTTATATTGAAATTTCATGACTGGTCTTGAAAATGGTTTCGCAATAGAAAAAATGACCATCATTGAATGTACGGTCAAGTGTTGCGTGAATATCTTTGCTTTGAGATACCAAATATCTCCTCAATCATTTTTCGTAAATGATATCTTGCAGATCTTGTTGTGCAACAACTCTCCTTCCTCTTTCCATCATTCAATTTTCCATTACGCAAACTCATAATCCTCTAAGTGCGTCCACTCCCCACTAACCTCATACCTCCACAAACTGATCGCCTCGGCCATCCCCCCTATCCCCCCATTTCCATCCCCATGCATCATCCACTCCCCCTTCACCTCCTCCAACGTCCTCTTTGCCTCCTCCTCTCCAACCTTATTTTGCACCGTAACATGTGGTCTAATTTTTCTATCATCCTGTTCCGTCAATTTAACACCCTTTTCTCTAAACTCTCCTAGTAATTCTTCATGAATCTTCCGTAATTTGAAGGATGCAATATTGAGCGCTACACCTTTTTTTCCCAATGGAAAAGGATCTTTAATACCGACTTTGAATTTTTGTTCTCGTGATGAGAGAGAAGAGATAGCGGATTTATAAAGAGAATGCTGGGAAGAGGGAAGGGCATGGAAGAGAGTTATGTGTGCAGAGAGGTAGTTGCGAGAAGAAGGAAAATAGCGGGCCCGGAGAGCAGTGAGGAGTTTTTCGGAGGCGGCGTCAAGGCGGAGGGTTAGGATAAATGGTTGAGACATTTTTGAATGTGTGAAGGAAAAATATGAAATGGATGGTTGTTTTTAGGTGAGTTGGAGGACTTGGTGGAGTCGATAATTGGAGAAGATAATGAGGTCATGGATTTAGGAGTGGGAACTACAATTAGCGTAGAGTTACATAATGGTGTTTGAAGCGTCGACGTTGATTCAAATATTTTGATTATTCGATAACATCGCAGACTTGTGATGATTATCATCGAGACGCACAATTCAATCATTATTGAGATAAATGATTTGATCCAAATTTTGTTACCGATCCAATCATATCCTATATATCTCCCTCCCTATCACCTATCGTGGTCAAACTCGAATTTCCAGTACCAAATTATTGAAATCAACAATTCTAATCAAAACATTGCAAACATAAGATAAAGTTCGATCCTATTCAATCTTACCGTCCCTCCTTCTCAAAACCCTTGCTCTGAAATTCTGTTGCTTCACAAACCATCTGTTCTTACAAACTATTCCCCCATCTCTCTCCACATCCGCATCCAACTCGAAATCAAATCTCCTCACCAATTGCGGTATCAGCTTGTTCATCTCCAACAAACTAATATTCTTGCCAACACAGGTTCTCGAACCCATGCCAAAAGAGAAGAAGTACTTTTCTACTTCTGCACCTCGACCCTGCTCCTCAATTTCGAGCCATCTTTCGGGTCTCCATTGATCTGCGTCCGAACCCCAGACAGCAGTATTTTGATGAGCTACATATGCATTGATGCCTACTGTAGAGCCACCTGGTATGAATTGGTTTGCGACGGTAGTACCTTCGACTGGCACGATTCGTTGTAGCCCCAGACCCACAGCAGGGTGGACTCTTAATCCTTCTTTGATGACCGCTTGTAGATACGGTAGTCCTTGAGCTTCTTTAAAGGTAATAGGGTCTGATATTCTTCCCTCCTTTGCCGCAGTTTCGATCTCGTCTCGCAGATTTTGATAAGTATGTGGGTACTTCAACAAGTGGTAAAGCACACTCGAAAGGGTAATAGCTGTTGTGTCACTTCCTGCACCAATGTTGGACTGGCATGTGGTACTCAAATCCCTTCTCGTAATCTTCTCAGGATCTTTTTCAGAAGCCATCAAAATCCTCGTCACGAAGTCTGGAGTGCCCTCTTCTTTCCTGTCGCCACTTCTTCGTTCTTTTAACACTTTTTCTTTTTCTGCAATTTTATCTGCTGTGAACTTGACTATATATGCCATCCCGCCAGTACTAGGCAATAACGGAAATAGCCAAGCGTGAAGCCAGCTCCAAATCCCAATAAATGTAGAATACCATCCTCTATTATCAATTGCCTTGAACACACCATCCTTATCCTCTCCCATATCTAAAAGGCCAAAGCGTTGGCCAAATGTAATCTCTCCAATGACATCAAATGCATAGCATTGCAACCAATGCTGCATATCAACAAAATCTCCCGAAATTGTCGATTCCAGGAAGTGTCGTGAGAGTAACTCGGAACAATTATCCACATGGCCTTCATATCCAACCATAGAACTCATGCTATAGTAATTTGCGACCTTACGTCGCTGTACAGAGTGACGATGTGGATCAAGCTCAGAGAATAGCGAAGCTGCGTTTAGATTTGGAGGTTGCCATGCCCAATACCATGCTGTTTTTGGAAAACTACCTCCACCAATAGAGTAGATGCCTTTGGCAGCATTAACATCATCAATCGAGTATTCATGCGGTGCGATGCGGACAATAGGGCCATAGCGAGTATGTAATTGTTTGTTGGTACGTTCGAAATGACCTTTGTATATTTCCCAACAATACCAGACTCGAGTAAAGCGTGCGAGGAACGGTCCTGGAATATGGCGAAGAGGGTCTATGATTGCAAGGAATACGGTACTTAGGACGTAAATGGATACTGGGATCGCAATAAGTGCCCATATTGGCATGGAGATAAATTCTTGAAGCATGTTGTTTTGCATTCCCTGAAAGAAAAGGAATTAGCAAAACATGGATAGTGACAAGAGATGACGAGAGATGGCAAGATATATATTCCTAATTCCTACCACCTGAACACACTTCGGACATGTCTCGGCTTGCAATGCATAGTCAACACATAAATAAGACGGAGCTTTTGAGCGGCACTTCAAATGCGAGGAATTTGAAAACAAGTGTGGTTCAATGCGGGGAACTCGGTATTACGGATAAATGTAAAAAGTGCGACTATACAGAGGTCGTAGAATTTTCCAACTTATATTAGGGGCTTTACATTTCAGTGCCATGTAATATCCACTGAATGGAGTGAAACAAGAGAGGTTAATAATTAAAGTATAGTATATGCCCATCATCAGCACATCATCATCAGTATTGAAGATATAAAACTTTCTTGCAAAATGAGTGCGACCTCGGTAGTAGATCAATATATAATATAGATCCATAGTATTGATAATTCTACACCCCCTTCCACGCCTACAAGAACGACTCCTTTATCAAGTAACTAGCGTCTACCGAGTGGTTGAGTTGCGCAATGAACTTGGTTTGGGAGACTGGAGGCGGATGCACATCGAATACATCGAAACTTCTTCAGTTACCGAAGTAGTTAGATCATAACTAGATCCTAGCTATCAGGTTGAACACCTCAACATGTACTGGAAAATTGAAATAATACTTACATCAAACTAGCCAGCAACTACTGGTTATTCCACACAACTTTATATCATGAACTCGACTCGAAACAGTGAAACCGAGGATTATGGGTTGATTCACAGTATAAAGTCAAGGAACAAGTGATTTTCATTGTTTTCATTTGAATGATAGATTGAAGAACGGTTTGATTAGTAGATTGGCTGGGATGAGGGAGAAATACCTCAGTCGAAATTTTGAACCTTATGAACCTGTTTGACACAAAATACAGCCTATGATAATACATCATAGATCCCTCCTGCCAATCGGAGTGCTTCCCCTCAGGGCCTCCCCCCTCCAACAAAGCTTTGTTTCTGACGCTTTGCCATCCACTCACTATCCTGTCTCCTCTGGGCTCTCAGCCTATCATTTTCATATAATTCGTCGATTTCTTGTTGGCCTATTGGTTTCTCAAAATCGTATAGTGGTTCGAGGGTTGCGTATTTTTGCTGCAAAACATATCGTTTTATCCACCATCTATTTGATTCAGTCAATGATGCTATCTACTGTGAAGAAAAGAGGAGATAGCTCACGGTAAGGCTTTAGTAAGCTGGTAATGCATATGTGTGCGCGTGGGAACAGCAAATACAAAATTTAGTTCTTCAAGTGTACGTTGCTTGGTTTCCGGTACCCAAAGAAATATCATGCATAATGATATGACATTTAATCCAGCGTAGAAACCGAAAGTTCCCTGTATGATCAATTAGCAACCAAGCCAAGAGAGAGACCCTGATTCAGATGAGTGTATATCTTACGGCAACAGTAAAGATATCAAGCATTCTAGGCAAAGTAATGCTTAATACAGCGGCCCAAAAGAAGTTCGTAGCAACAGCCCAACCCATTCCAACTTCACGATGTGATAGCGGAAATACCTCAGCAGAGTATGTAAATGGAACTGGACCTGCCCCAGGGCTATAGAAAGCAGCATAAACATATATGAACAACGCCATAAGGCTTAGATGTGCTCGACTGGATTCCAGTATCAATGAACAAAGTGCCACAGCAAGTATGCTCCAAGCCATGTTAGGAATCGTAAATAATAACAACGTTCGTCTGCCGTAAGTATCAATTGTCCATATAGCCGGCCATGCAAAGATAAAATTAACTAGACCAAACCCCCATGACGCTAAAAGTGCATTGATCCTGCCGGCACCCGCTTTTTGAAAGACAGTCGATGAATAAAACGCAATGACATTGATTCCACACATTTGTTGAGCCAACATGACTGTAAAGCTAGCCAGCGTCGCTCTTCTTAACCGAGGCACTGTGAACAACTGTGTAAACCGTGTCAAGTAAGTATGGTTTCCAACAATCTCTGCCTCCAGCTCAAGCTGGGAGTGGATATAGTAAAGATCACGCGCAGCTTGCAGAGGATTGTTCCGAAGTTTCAACAAAGATTGATATGCTTCTGGATATCGGCCCTTCTTCATATACCAGCGGGGACTTTCTGGGCAATAAAAGATAAGGATACAAAGAGGTACAGCGGGTATGAATGCAGAGCCGAGTTGAAGACGCCAGGCTATTCGAGGAACGTTGGCAACTATTAAATTTGCGCAGAAGCCAAGAAAGATCCCAAAAGCATTCCACACTTGCCAAGACATAACGAGCGCACCTCGAATAGCTAAACGAACATTAGCTCCGAGGTCAAAATATTGAATTGAGGGAAGAAAAGAGCGAACGTACCTGCAGGTGAGTTTTCCGCCGCATATACCGGGACAGTCGAAGCTTTCGCACCCATCCCGAGTCCAAGTATAAGACGGCAAATAAAAAGTTCTTGCCATGTTGTTGTGAACGCACTACCAATCACACTCCACAGACAGAAGTTGCCGGCGACAAAGATGGTTCCCCGGCGTCCGAAATAATTGTTGAGAGGATCAGAAATCCAACAACCTATAAATGCGCTGCTGATATATGGGGCAGCATTACAGAGTCCAACTAGCATTGTATCGCGGGTAGATTTTCCTCCAATGTCGAAGAGGTCAGGGAATGATAGGTTTGCACCGTTTGAGCCTGCATTTGTTTATCAATTAGTAATTATTTTACGGCAAATGGAAGTATTTAGATCACAGCTATTATTATTCTGAGCCCACTAGGACAGTGAGAAGAGACAATCGAAGTTGTTCCGATTTGAGTCGTTGCAATTTGGATTCACCTCAACTTCGCTTATCCGAAACCACTCTGATCCTTGTTCTCAAGCCCCATCTTCAGTGCGAGCATGAAAAGTTATAGTTAACTCACCTGTTTGGTCCCATCCTTGAACGGCAGCTCTGTTACGACGAAAGTCAGAGAGCTAAAAAAGTGAAGTGCTAAGGTAGGGTGGAGACGTACCCAATGGAACATGTAATAATAGTGATGTACAGCGCCCATGGCTGCTTCCATCTATGAAGGATTTCGTCCCTCAAGCATTCAATTTCTTCTTCATTCAGGGCATTTTCCCCTCTAATATCTTCGTAATTGGTCGGATCTTGTGCCACCAGTGCCCCTTTAACCAATATTGGAAGGACGCTCAGCAATTGATTCTTGGTTGCAAATGCTTTGACCTGATCGTATAGCAAAGACGTTGGAATTCCAGACAACGGGTTTTGGATCCTGTTTTAGAGGGTTAACAAAGTTTTGAGTATTGTGAGAATCCGAGGCAATTCTCACTTAGCATCCAAGTTGCTGTTCAGGTTGATATGGTGCTGATTGGCTTCGATTTCGACGGTATAACCACCTAAATTATTGCCGGTAGCATGCGACCGTGTCCTTGGACTTTTATCAGCCAACATTAAATAAGAAACTCACCCCAACGAGTATCAAATACAACATACCATTCCGGATGAACAAAATTCACATGTTCTTCAAGGTACTTTGGTTCTGGCATTGTACACACCTTTCGTTCATTGTCTTGAAACGAGCGATAAAATGACGATGAATGAAAATCGGGGATAAGATTTACATATATACCACCAGTAATGCAGCCTCTGGTCATTTCTATACTACCTAAGCGACCCTGAGAAACAATGGCTGCCCTAGTATGCAAAATACTTACTTAATCCTGGTTTGACGTATTCAATATCATCAATGTGCGTGAACGTAAAGCACGAGAAGGCAGCACTTCAATCCTGAATGGCACAGTTTGTGTGTAGTCTGACATTTTAGATACAGCATTCCCCTTGTACCAAAGGAAAAGGATGGCTTCTAGAAGTTGAGGCTGACAAGTCACTAGACTCTATACCAATTGTCTTCAAGGCAGTACGTAGGGCGGGTGAACAATTGACTTGCTTGTCTAATACTTCCAATGAAAATTAAGAGCGACAAGCCCATTCTGCAAGGGGAAGCATCAATGTGAAAAGGAATTTATATTAAAAAACACAAACTTCGAAATGACTTGTTCGCTTGCGCTGAGATATCCCGTCTCTATTCGCATAAATTAATCATATGCTTTGTATGAAGGCAACAGCACAAATATTCCCCAACGCGGGGCCCCGCCAAGTATGCAGAGTTGGGCTGTATAGCCACGATTCATGGTACACCGTAACTGAACCACGAGACATGATTTCCACAACAAAATTCAGCCTCTGTAATTTGCATAGCCTAGTGATTGCTGACCACACTGGAAGTCAAGGAAATAGACAAGCTCCATGCGACCACTTAAAATATACAGAATAGATCGGCACTACGTAAAATCCTCACGGCAAAGTCGTTTGGCCTCGAATCAGAATCAGGTAGATGAATAAAATTTCAATTCTCTAATCAGGATTTCATCGGCTTTCGTCCAAACATAATAACCTTGGCTGTAATTCAGAGTGGATTGAACCCCCTTTCAAACACTCCCACGATGCGTCGTGCAATTTTGCTGCGCAGGGTTTATATCTCTATCGAATGAGTGACCGGGAAACAACTTTGTATTCGATCTAATAAAAACATGATGATAGAAACGTGCAGCTGGTTGTACCTACGGTAGTATGATAAACGAGTAATGAGTAAGGTAAACAGTATTGGATGAGGAGTTATTGTACCGGTCTGAAATTGGCTATAGGCACAGATTACATAATAATCACACAGTCATGTGACTAGAGATAAGATAAGCTTAATGTTTGATGTTGCAATGCATTTCAAGATTGAGATTCCATTCGATCTTCTAGGCAACTAACACGTCGACCCACCATACTTCAACCTTTCTGATGAGTAAGGTTATGTTTCCCGGTAAGAATACATTATTGCCGTCATGGCACCTCCAGCTAAGAGACGGAAGCGCAATGTCATTGAGTCCTCTCCCCATTCCTCTGATAACGAGGACAATGAATCGATTCAGGTGAACAAGTTCAAAAGTCGATTGAGCAGTTTGGCACATTCTCCTCCACAAAGATCGGGCTCTTCTGAGCCTGCCCCAAGGTCTATGTCGCAATCCAGTAATTCCACGAGATCTTCTTCTTTTTTGAAACCTCCAACAAAAGCGACCATTTATCCTCCCAATGCTGCCCCGATCCACTTACCAAATCATCGCAAGGAGTCCACTACAAAGAGTCCGAGTACAAGTCCAGAGAAACCAAGAAGTAGAAGAAAAGTTGAGGAAAAGCGGCAGAATGTAGATATTAATACGTTGTTTGCAAGGCAATCACAGAGGCAGCAGGCAGAAACGGAAGGCGAGACGATACCTAAACAAAGAATTCAGGTTCTCAATTCGAGAGATATTCAACAGGAGGCTGATTTAATAGATGATTTAATATCAGATGATGACGATGTGGGAGAGAGTCGAGCGCAAGCAATTAGCATTGTTGGGCAAGCCGCCAAACGGGGAGTTGGAAAGAACGTATTCACAAATTCAGGTACAAACACACCCAGCGCCAGTCAAAGATTTGTAATACCGTCTCAGGGGTCTATAATAGAACGTGTGGCTGAGGAAGAGGATATACGACCTTGGGCTGAACGCTTTGGGCCAAATAATCTGGAAGAGCTTGGAGTTCACAAGAAGAAAGTAATTGATGTTCGAACCTGGCTTGATAATGTTATAGGAGGGCAGATGAGACAACGGTTATTGATCTTGAAAGGTGCTGCCGGAACCGGAAAGACCACAACAGTACAGCTATTAGCGAAAGATATGGGGTGTGATGTTCTAGAATGGAGGAACCCTGTTGGATCGATCCCTTCCTCAGACGGCTTTCAGTCAATGGCTGCACAATTTGAGGAGTTCATGGGTCGGGGTGGAAAATTTGGTCAACTAGATTTATTCACCGACGACCATGGAGATATTCCAGCGAAAGCAGAGGTAAAACCGTTGGATCGAAGGAAGCAAATTATACTAGTCGAAGAATTTCCAAACACTTTCACACGTTCTTCGAGTGCCTTGCAATCATTTCGATCTGCGATACTTCAATACCTTGCCTCTAATACTCCTCCTCTCTCAATATCATACAATCCTAAAGCTAAAAGTGATCCTATCACTCCTGTGGTAATGATTGTATCAGAAACCTTGCTTACAACGACCTCGGCGTCTGCAGATAGCTTCACTGCTCATCGCCTTCTTGGGCCAGAAATTCTTCAGCATCCGGGAGTAGGAGTGATAGAATTCAATGCTATTGCCCCGACTATATTAGCAAAAGCTCTTGAGACAGTGGTACAAAAAGAGTCGAGAAAATCAGGCAGAAAAAAGACACCGGGACCCCAGGTATTGAAAAAGCTTGGCGAGGTGGGCGATATTAGAAGTGCAATTGGCTCTCTGGAGTTTATGTGTCTAAGAGGAGACGTCGATGACTGGGGAGGCAAAGTTGTTTTTGGCAAGGGAAAGAAAACAAGCAAAGATACATCTTTGACAAAAATGGAAGAGGAATCGTTAGAACTGATCACTCGCCGCGAAGCTAGCTTGGGAATCTTCCATGCCGTCGGAAAAGTTGTTTATAACAAGCGTGAAGGGAAGGTATCAGACAATGTGGAATCTTTGCCACACTTCATATCTCATCACTCTCGTCCCAAAAAATCTGAAGTAGGCATAAACGAGCTTATCGACGAGACTGGCACCGACACGCCAACCTTTATCGCTGCTCTCCATGAGAATTATATCCTTTCATGCGAAGCACCGCCCTCTTCCTTCGAATTCTCATCCCTCGATCACGTCAATGGTTGCATCGATGCCCTCTCCGACAGTGACCTCCTCTGTCCCTCTTGGGACGGTTCTCTTCAATCCTCCGGCTTCGGTGGGGGCATAACAGGAACCGGAGGCGACATTCTCCGCCAAGACGAAATTTCCTTTCAAATTGCCGTCCGCGGTATCCTCTTCTCACTCCCTCACCCCGTATCCCGCAAAGCACCTGCAGCAGCCGGATTCAGAACTGGCAAAACAGGCGATGCACATAAAATGTTCTATCCCACCAGTCTCAAGCTCTGGCGCATGAAAGAAGAAATGGAAAGTACGTTAGATCTCTGGGTCACGCGTTTAATGAAAGGAGAAATTGATCCTACGAATACGCATTCGTCAAGTATTACATCTGGCGCCGCAGCATTCGCTCGTCCTAAAGCTGGCACAGTCGAAAGCTGGAAAATCAAAACCGCTGCCTCATTATCTTCACAATCGAAATCCATTTCCAACCCCAACACTCCAAAAGAAGAAGACACCCCACCGCTCCTCACCCTCGGCGTCTCCGCTCGCACAGAAATGCTCCTCGAGCGTCTCCCCTACATGATCCAAATCACCAAATCCAAATCCTCCCCCCACCAATCCCGCAACCCATTCTCTTCTTCATCCGCTTCCACCATCACAAACTTCCAATCCAACCCCCTCCTCGCCTCCCTCTCCAAAATAACAACCTTCGCCGGCATTGGTCCTGCGCAAACCTCCGACGATCCCGCCTCTCTTTCCGATGACGAATCTCCCGATCCCGATGCTGTAAACTGGGCCACCGATAAACCCAATGATAATGGTATGGGCACGCCGAAGAAGGAGAAGCGAGGTGGGAACATGGGGGTGGTAATGAAGAAGGGAATTAGTAGTCAGAGAGCAATGCCTGTGCAGCAGTTGGAGCAGAAATTTGTTTTGAGCGATGATGATATTGAGGATGATTGATTGGTTGATGATTGGAATCCAAATTGGGAGTGGGGCCTCAAAGGTTTGATAAATATGAGGCTTTTGGGTGGTATGCTTGAAGTGTTGATGGATGACGGGCATGTATTTTTATGACCTGGAACGAGATGGTTTGGCGTTTAGTTCATTGTACTGTACCTCCAAAATCAGAGTTAAAATTGAGTTTCACAAAGTTTCTGTCCTCTTACGCGGTGTCATCCTACAAAACATCAAGTTACTCATTCTTTATACACATTACATTATTCTTAGTGAGCATGCATGACTGCTTGGATTCTATTGACCAAAAGCTTTATATTTACTAATGAGTGACTATATAACAAAGCTCTTGGTGTTTCTTTGGTTGTTTAAGTACAAGCAGAAAGAGCACAATGAAGTATATGAGTATGATCAAACCTCTCCACCACATTAATTTCTACCACACCGAAACATTTTTATCTGACAAAAAAGAAGGGAGAGACAGTGTATCCGATCTGAGAACAAACACTAAAGCGGAGTAAACCTCCACACAATGGATGATTCAAAAGTCGATAAAAAGAGAAGATTTTGGCGATAAGAGACTCGAAAACATATCACCTCTCGCATAACGTAATGCAAAAGTAGTAACTATGATCTGTCCAAAGTACTGAAGATAATCCTCAGCTTAGGATGACTCGTTATGGTAGAATAGCTTTTCGAAGATAATGTTGATTAAACAGAATGAACATGTCGTAATTCGACGAAGGGAAATCCCAATTTACAGCGAGAGTGTGGACAATACAAGCTTGACTTTGTATCTGCTGAATAATGTAGAACCAATGTAAGGTTTTCATAGATATGAGAGACTGAAAGTTGGAAAACAAAAAGCCCCGGAGGATATGTTGTACTGTTATCTTGGTTGCATAAAATCTTGTCTTTGTGAAGATCGTATGAAGACCCGAACACAAAAGGCAATATGACAAAGCAGGAAAAGCAAATGATGAGTTGTAAGTAGCTTAGCGGTAGGTACTACCGTATCGAACATTGGTTGGTGGCATACGTGGTGGTGGAGCGCTGCTGATTGTAGGGCCAGAGCCTGGGCCTGGACGAGTTTGAAGGGCAGGGTTGGTGCAGAGCATACCAACTCGGGAACCAAATTTTGAACCACGAAGGGAGACCATATGCTTGCGAATATGAGAAGCGACAATTTCTCGATGTTGTGGGTTAGAGTGCTGCAAAATGTACTGGATCAAGTAATTGCCATACTGATCACTGGCAATATCGATCAAAGGGATGCGGGGACGGTCGAGGCGACCTTCACAAACACGATCAAGGTAACGACCAAGAAAGTCGACACCGCCAATCTTGAGGCACTTTTCGACAACCTTAGAAGCAAATTGATCCATGCTGTATTCGGAAGCGTAGCGGATAACATGGTCAATAGCCCGGCTGCGATCAGCTGGTGCTCCATGCTCGCAGATATGTTGAATACACCAATTACCGAACTGTCCATGGGCAACAATGTCAATGCTAGCAAGGACTTCTTCAATACAAGGACGCTATGATACAGTTAGACCCAGTTCGATATGAGGCAAATATACAGACATACCTTGTCTTCTTCCAGACAGTTCTCGAAGATGTTCTGAACCACCAAGCTACCAGTCTCACCAAGAGCGACTTCATGCCACATACCACGAAGAGCTTCATTAACGTACTTCATGATCTGAGGGGGAGACTCAGTCCAGCGAAGTTCAAACAACTTCTGCCAGACATGGCAAGCGTATCTATGAATGACAGTTTCTGGAATTCTACGGAGCAGTTCGTGGACCATAATAGCCTTGTAATCTTCTGGAACAGAATCAAAAGCCTTTTGGACAACATGGCAACCAAAAGCATCCATGGAGAGATTGAGAGTATTGCCACGTATAGCCTCTGCAATCTTGATGACTTGTTCTGGAGTACCGTGCTCGAAGCATCGTTGAACCAAGAAGTTTCCAAAGCGATTGACCATTAGAGGATAAGCCTGGGCAACAATAGCCTCGACAATATCATATTTCTGCTCGGTTGTACCAACCTTGAGCTTCTGTTGCAAGAAGATCGAAGCTTGTTGATCATTATTGCAAACAATCTTGTCAACAATATACTTCCAGTTACAGTTGACGGTTCTGTCCAGGAGACGACGATAGTTCAATGGCTCAGTGGTTGGTAGATAAGTTTGGTGGCCTTCATTAGCGACCGACTGAAGATAAGTTAGTTAATGCTACCTAATCAATTGATTGATGCTTACCTCGGTCTTCCATGTTCCACTGGCTGAAGTAAACTCTGGTGCATGTGGCGAAAGAGGTGTGCCTATTGGCTGAGGTTGGTAGCCTGAGTACATTCCACTTCCCATATTCATATCCATGTTCATCTGATTGCCCAGTGGTGTTGGAATTCCCCCCATTGATCCATAAGAACTTGAAGCTGGTGTGAAACCTTCAAAGGAGCTTGAGCTGCTCGAGTAAGGAATGGAACCTAGATTACGATTGTTGTTGAATCTGTTGCCATTGTTACGACGGATTCCACCACCGGGCATTGCCATATCATGCTCATATCTCTCACCACGAAAGGTATTTGGAGGTGGTCCACCAAATGCCATGTTTGGCTCAACGAATGGTTGATTGCAACTACCACGACCCATCCATTGTCCAGCAGTATGTGGACCAGAAGGTTGAAAGGAAGGCATTGGTGGAGCACTCGGGAAATTTGGTTTGTTATTGCCCCAAATAGCCCGAGTACGGTTGTAGCCACTTGCGGAGAGAGCATCACTATGGTCAGAATTTGCATCTTCTTGGTTGCCCCAGGAGCTTTCACGAGTGACGTGAGGACGGAAATGGTTTGGGGGGATACCGACAGAGGGGTCTGAAACGTTTCCAAGAGGAAAGTCTGCTTCAGAAACACTACCAATAGCTTGGTCAATAGTATGCTTTGTAATGCGGTTTTGTGCAAGCTCTTGATCCATGCGTGCAATTCTTCCTTTTGCAGCCTCCAACTCAATCTTGAGACGTAGAACCTCTTCAGCACTAGGCTGATTATCGCCATCGCCACGACTCTGAGGACGAGTAGTTGGAGCAGTTGTTGCTGTGCCAGAGTCAAAGTTTTCCGTGGCAGGTGTAATTGGGACAGAAGTAGGAGCAGAACAGTAGTCGAGAGTTCGTGAATTGTTCGAACTATAGTCATCCGAGTTCCTCAAAGCTTCATGTTGGCGATTGAGAACTGCTTGTTGCTCCGAAAGCTTGGCCAATAATTTATCAACAGGATTTGGCGAGTTGTCGAAAGTGGGGCATTGGAACGAAGCTGTGGTAGTAGGGGCAGTGAAAGTATCGTGGCTTAACTTCATCTTCTGTATCCGTTAGTATGCATTAAAGCATTGTGTGGAGGGGTTTGTTACCTTAGGAGCAGCTTGGTTGCCCAACTTGTTTGTAGAAAGAGCTGTAGCTGCCTTTTTGAGAGTATTAGCATTGTCCTGAATGATATTGGTCAGTAAGATATGCGAGATATATAGAAAACAAGATTGCATAGACGGCGTTTGATTGGAAGGTAAGCAGTGAGGACTCTGCTAGTGAGCTCACTCGAGAAAAAATGGTAAAGTTTTATTAGGTGTCAGAGGCACAGAAACGGCAATAAATGAGGGAAAAGACGGAAGAATTGAGGAAGAGGTAGGCTCACTATTCTTGTTGTTAGTTTGTCAACAGCATCGTCACCGAATCCAGGGTTCTCATGGCTGCTACGATCGATTGTACGACGGAGGGTTGGTGATCCATTGGAAGCAACTGAGGAAGCCATGTTGCTTGTGAGATATCTTAATGAGTCGCTTGAAAGGAAAGTAAGAATCCAACGCAGATTGTGCTGACTGAATAGATCGAAATTGACTGTTGAATGGCTCGCTCGTAGATGAGTTGAAAGTAGATGAAGAGAAATGAAGGTATGGAGGATCAAAAAAAACAAATGAGAGTCGTAGCTCTAAGGAGACTTAGATAGAGAAGTAACGTCTATCCTTTACAGCTGCTCTATCCTTTTTATCAAATGGCATGCAAAAATTAAAGTATAATTCACTATATTTGGAATTGAGGTTTGAAGAAAGAAAGAAGGTCCCGTCGTTGATGAGAAAAAAATAGGTCGAAAGTGATTTTGTGCGGGTGTTCGGCAAGCTTTATATTCACTCAGAGAATCTTACGCTCTATCGTCTCGCATATTTCAACTCTAAAGTCTTTGCATGATTAGATGGGCAGAATTTTCTATCGATCAGGTAAATAGGAGACGCAAGTAAAGAGGCTCCGTGAAAGAGGAAAACAAATCAAGTACTGCAAGAGAGAAAATCCGGAAAGCTCGATGAATATAAAGTTCCAGCATGGTTGCTCTTGCCTCTTCTTCTGAGTGCTAATATCACTTAAATTCCCACATGGATAACTTCTCTGAAAGAATCTTAACTACTTCCAAAGTTTACATTCGATGAATCTAGATTACCTTTCGGGCCGAAGTATCAAACCACGATTTGTTTTGAGAATACCGTCTTGCCATGATGGTGATATAAGGAAATAGCGACTTGTATAAATTTGTAGAAAGCACGACAGGTCGTCATGTCCTCTGATCATGCCTAGAGATGGTAGTAGGTATGAATAGTACTTAACACACATGACCTCCGTTGATTACTGTATACTTCCACGTTACAATAGAAAGAAACCATCTATGGCTCAAACTTTCATCACGATCTGGAAAGTTGAAGCCATAAGCTGACAGGGAGGGATTTGAAATCGAAATCGGCGTGATTTCAATGCTTCGTAACCATAGAAGAAGCTAGTTCATTCCAAGGCTGCAATCACTTGCAGTGTTGTGACTTCTAGCCGAGATTTCAACGCTTTCAAGAGCAATATATGCAGATTCATAATAATCTTTCTCATTTGACTGAGCTTCTGCAGTTTGCGTTCAAGATCCTGGCAATAGTTCAGGAAACCCTCCACCAAGCCCCGTCCCAAGAGCTGATTCCAAACGCCAGTAATGCTACAGTTGTAAAATGCTGTACAAGTTATGTTCAGGATATAACGCTTATCCTCATCTACCTCTTCTTTCCCTTGAACTTCTTGGAATCTGATTGAGTTTGTTAGTAGATAACATCATGCCTGCAGTGAACCACATACCTTCTGCAGTCCTCTTCTTTTTTGGTGCTCCCTTTCCTCTCGCTTTCAGACTACATTATAATTAGAAGGAGTTCTCAAACACTGGTATACATGATACACATACATTGTAATATGTTCAAATCTATCTTCCTCGGCGTCATCATAGGTCTCGACGTCATATTCGTCATAAGCTTTCTGCAGATCCTTGATCGTAGCCATCTTTCGTGGGTAGTATGCAGCCAACGCCGGTCCCTTTAATCTTTGTCGAAGAATCTTGTTTCCTGTTCGAAGTCTATCAGGATTGAATGTGGTTGAGAAGATCCGGCATTGGACCTGTACAACTGAGATTAGTCTCAAGTTCCCGGCTTTGAAATTAGACAGATCAATACCTTCATCAATTCCAGCACTCTCGACTTCGCGACCGACATGTTTAGTGATATGGGCGTGGATTTACTTTTCAAGTCTGGTTGTTCATCAACTCAGTGGATTTTAGCGGCCCTGTCCGGGAATTCGGGCCTTGATTGATCCGGCTATCACGTGCCTTTCTCGAAGTTCAGGCTCGCGAGCTTTTGAATCTTCTATTATGTAGATAATTGACGATTTCTTCAATTTTCAATTAAACAATCTTAACACATTTTTTTCTTTCATCGATAAAATCGCTTTTGGGTAATCCTCTCTTCACTTCATTGACGTTTACTGTGAACAGTCAGTTGCACTTCAAGCATTGTAATGGAATGGTGCATGCATCCGACTCAGAAGCAAATTTGGGAAAACCAGTCAAGCTAGAAATGGCATCTAAGCGTCCATTTCCCTTCGAGAATGGCAGCGGTAAGGAGCACAAGAAAAGAAACGTAAGTCAAATTTCTTGAATACATCCACAACGCTAATCCAAATATCAGATAGATTCTTCGTCCCATAACAAAATCTCCAAATTATTGGGTGCATTAGAAGAACTTCTTGGGGAAGACGATGTGGGCGAAGTTGAGGCCTTGATGGGTGGTGCAGCATTTTCAGGAGCAAACGAACTTCGTAATACATTACGAGACCAAGTGCAGTCATACTTGAATAATACCAGCCATAGTGGTTCTCGGGACTTTAAGGTTGAAAGTTCATCTCAAGAACCTGTCATTGGAAACCCGGGGAAAATATTAACAGCTCTACAAATTACACCATGGACTTTGTCGTCCATTCCATCAAAACTTCCACCCCTTCCAGAAGTGTATGATCCTACTCTTGAGCTGGCTTCCTTCACTCACCATGGTCGTACTAATGGTAGCGTTGCTGATTTGAGTTATGAACGCTTAGAATGGGTAGGAGATGCATATATCTACACCATTTCTACCCTTCTCATATCACAGACATTCCCTGCCTTACTGCCCGGAAAATGCTCCCAACTTCGTGAAAGACTCGTCAAGAATGTCACTTTGGCTGATTTCGCACGAAAATACGGTTTCGAAAAGCGCGCGAAATTGCCAGAAGATACTCTCCATCCTATGAAAGAACCGGAAAAAGTCAAAGCAATGGGAGATATTTTTGAGGCGTATGTCGCAGCTATCGTGCTCTCAGATCCGAAAAATGGAGTTTCCCGTGCATCAGAATGGCTGAAAAGTCTTTGGGCCATGGTATTGTCGAAAGAAATCCAACAAGAAGAGCGGAATGAGGATAAATTGGATAGCCCCTTATGGAGATTAAGAGGAAATGTTGACCAAGTCCAGACAAAAACTAAAAGCGTACTTAATCCCAAAGAGAAATTACAAAAGGCCCTCAGTTCGAAAGTCAGTAAATTGACGTATAAGGATATTGGAACAGCCAAGAAGGACAAGAATACTAAACTCGCAGTGTTTACAGTGGGCGTTTTTCTTGATGGATGGGGTGAAGTTGACAAGCAGATTGGGTTTGGAAGTGCAAATGGCAAGAAAGAGGCTGGCTTCAAAGCCGCAGAGATGGCGTTGAATAACAAGAAGATGATGGCCAAGTACTTGGAGAAGAAGAAGATCTACGATACACAACAGGAAAGAGAAAGAATTGCGCTTCAAAAACAAGAAGAAAGTTGATCATGACCAACAACTACAAAAGGAAAATTATGACCTTTGAGTCGAATGGTCAGTAAAGGCTCTCATCTTGAGGGATATTCATAGATGAATAAGGATTGCTTGGGTTGCAGCGGTCAACATGAGTTCGGGTTCGTTACAGTGCATTTGTTGAAAAGTCACTTGTTAGCAGGGAATAGATACCCAAGAATCAAGTTTCCCGATAGGACACGAAATAATTAACATATCCGCCTCTCCATGGGCTACTTGTGTGAAGGCGTTCATGAGGTGTTCGAATGCATCCATCATACATACTTTCAGCGACCTTGGATCCATTCTCAAGCAATCAACTAATGTGTGTTATCATTTTACTGGTTGTTCCCCTTGCGCTGAAAACATCATTTGTGGATCATTGAGTCAAAACCCTCAAGAATCCTTACAAACACTTGTCAATTGACACTTCTACATGTTTCATGTTCCCGTATCTCAGGAACTGCAATATATTCTGTTCTTCCATATTGTCACTCCAAAGCAACCTTTCACAACATATAAAAAGTCCCCGAGTCAGGGGTGTAAGTAACGATCTCAAGGTAAGATTACTAGCGCGGTCCTTTCCGGCACCGCTGATCCTTGCAATTACTCCATTTCTTCGAGCCTCGGTTGGTCATTGCAGGTACAAACGCGAAAAGATGCGCATGATTATCATTTAATATTTGCTTTTCTTTTCATTTCAGATCTCCCACTTTGCTATCTATAATAATATTCCTTTACTTTTTGAAACATTTGCTCGAAGTTTGTGAAGATCGCATTTCCTGGCCGAGAATCAAGCCGTTGATTTATAACATTGGGCTGGGACCTTTTATGCTGAATAGATGAGAGAGGAAGGAACGCTCTGGAGATAAGATGGCGGATTCTGTGGGTAAGTAATGCGCTGTCGGTTCCTGATGACGATACATATCTACCCTATCCTGCCAAATCTGTCCCGAACTGCTGCAGAGATTCCCAATTGTACAAGTCTGACTCTGCCCAAAATGCCAGACCGAGTATTCGTCCACGCGCTCAACACAGTAAAAAAGATACCCAAGACTGGAGCATCGCGGCCCCCTCCTGCAGATCGATTACGTCTCTATGGATTATACAAACAAGCTATGGAGGGGGATGTGGATGGTGTCATGATGCGGCCGAGTTCTAGAGGTGAGGGAGAAGATGGCGAGGCGGGACTACAGGGAGAAGAATTGAAGAGGGAAAGGGATAAATGGGATGCGTGGGATGCGCAGAGAGGGGTTAGTAGAACAGAAGCGAAGAGAAGGTATATTGAAGCGTTGATTGATACTATGCATAAGTATGCTAGTACTACTGCGTAAGTCATGGATCTCCTGCTTTTCGAGCGCAATCTGTGGGGATTGAGAATAAGCTAATTTCAGATGTGGCAATGCAGAGATGCGAGAGAATTGGTTGCGGAATTAGAATTTGTCTGGGATCAAATCAAAAATAATACTCCATCATCCACGGGATCTTCGCCTGGCCATCGCGTGCCATCGTATACGACTCAACCGAGACAATTTCTAGAACCAGTGTCAGGGACCGACGGCGCAATGAGAGTATTGAGTCCAATGAGCCAGGACGATGAGGCGGAAAGGGAATCTGAGAGACGGTTGGGACGCAATGGTGAAGATGAAGAGGTATATACCGACGGCAAAAACAACAAGACGAAATGGAGGAAGAGTGTGGAACAAGCGCTAGTGAAAATGACAGCTGAGATCGCAGCATTGAGAGAGCAGATTGCTACGGGAAGAGAATACCAGGGCAAGAAGTCAAGGTCTCCAAGAAAATGGCTGGCTTGGTTTATATGGATCGCCATCAAACACTTTCTGGTGGATATGGCGCTATTAGGTCTTATTCTGTTATGGATGAGACGAAAGAAGGACAGGAGAGTAGAGGATCTCGTAAGAGAAGGACTAAGGATTGGGAGGGAATACGTGAGGAAAGTCTTACCCTCTCGGTGATAAGGGATCGACCTTTGAAACTTACAACTTATAATAACGACCAAGAGCGGATATAATTGCCGGATTTCTTGCTTCAGATTGGACGAAAACATTCAGAGATCGGTCAAAGACTCCCTGTTAAAGATAAAATTATATTATACCCATCAAACAATATTCATATACTACCACCATATATCAAGTCGCTGCTCTTCGCACAGAGGCATCTACGAAGGCATACCCTCCATCTGCGCAGCACCAGGAATCTCGGACAGCCACTTCACCCTCTCCTTAACATACAATTCCCCCTTGGGAATATTCTCATTCGGCCAATTGCCATCATCCAAAACGCCAGCTTTAATAATTACTTGGTTGGGGAAAGAATCACCAGTGCGGTAGAGAGTGGTGCCACAATCACCGCAGAAGTGGGAGGTAATTTGATTGCCGGAATCGGCTTTCTTGCTGATAGTTTTGGGTTTTCCTGGAGGTGTTAAATGGTGGACTTGAGGAGTGGGATATGGGTGGAAAAAGGGAAAGAGGAGAAGAACAGGGAAATGGGCGGGAATTGGGAAACCGCTGTAAGGCGTGGGAAATACGAACCAGATTCAAGCTTGAATTGTCCTTCCGGCAATACGATGTTGTTACTATAAGTAGCACCAGTAATCTTTCGACAATCGGTACAGTGGCATAGGAGATGGGCTCCTGGCTCGCCGGTGTAGCTTATGCGGATCTATGGGATTTGCGTAGTCAGCATATATGGAATAAGACGGAGGTGGGCAGTTGTAATATATATATATTGTAATCTTATAATGACATGAGACAGATAGGTGTTGGGAGGAGGGGCAAAATACCGCATCACAGAAACATCCTCCTGATGGCATTTTCGAATTAATAGTATATTGCAGTTGAGAAAGGTTAGACGTAGTTGTGAGTAGTCAATAAGATGATTATAGATATGGATCGTTGGCTGTCTCTTTAAGAACTATATATATACCTCTTCCTTCCCCTATGAAATTCATATCATCAAAGATCCAAAACATGAATACAAATCATCTGCCTGCCTTATTCTGAACAAGGTACTGATCAACCGAAAATCCTAAAAACCTGTTTTTCTGTGGAGACGAAGGTGGAGATGCGTGATTTTTGCTGTCCAATGGTGGAAGTAGCGGTGTAGGCTGCGTGCGTTGGGCATCAATGTCTGACAATGCTTTGGACGAAAATCGGTGGCGAGGTAGTAATGCATCATACGAGGGTTCGTCATCTTTGGAATTTAGTCCGTAGCGAGAGAGAGCATCGGCGATCGTGTTTTCTTCTCCAGGGCGATACTGGATTTGGAAGTTTATTCCACATTGCGTGATTTCGTCGTACCAGCGTCCGAGACGTCCGGTGAGTTTAGTTGTCAACATAAATCGTGCGAGATTACGATGGTCGGAATAAACTTGTAGCGGGAGAGAATTTGTCAGAAAATACGGGTAGCGGCGTAGAGCAAAAATGATAGCGTAGAGTTCTTTCTCGGCTACGGTCCATCGGGTTTCTTCATCCTTGAATTTGTGGGAATACAGAAGGATTGTTCGGGTAGAACCGTCAGGATGTAATTGAGAAATACGTCCAGCGTAGGCTACGTCAGATGCGTCGGTCTCCAGGATCGTCTGGAGGTCAGGTTGGTGGGCGAAGACAAATTGATCGGAACGGAGGTATGCCATCATGCGTGACCAGGAGCGTTCACATTCTTTAGTCCATTCGAAAACCTTGCCTTTCTTAGTTAGAGAGTTAAGAGGGGCTGCGTTATCGGCGAAATGGGGCATCATTTTGGAACAGAAATTGATAGTGCCGAGAACATGCGTACTTCCTTGACATTGGTGGGCCTTTTCCATTCACGGAGCGCTTGAAGCTTATCATCGGACATACGGATCCCTTTACCGGCAACGGCAGTAAAGCCGAGGAACTCGATTTCAGGAACGGACCATACGCATTTTGAAGGTTTCAAGTGGAGCTCTGCTTTTTCCAAAGCTTCCAGGACAAGGGTGACATGTTTATCGTGTTCCTCAGGGTTTGCAGAAAAAATGATGATGTCGTCTAAATAAGCAAAACAGAAGATTTCGAGATATGGGGCCAGGACAGAATTGATGAATCGCTGGAATACCGAGGGTGCTGTAGCCAGTCCCATGGGCATGACTTTGAATTCGTAAAGGCCAAAGAAGGTTTTAAATGCCGTTTTGCTCTCGTCTCCTTCTCGTATGCGTAGGTTGTAGAAGCCTGCGCGTACGTCGAATTTGGTGAAGATGTTAGCGGTGGGCAGTCGTTCCATGACGGTACGGGACAGGGTATTGGGTATTCATTGAGCTCGATGCGGGCGTTCAGGGCTCGATAATCAATGACGAGTCTTTCGGTTTTGTCGTTGGTTACGAAAAATACAGGGGACGAGTTGGAGGCTGTGGATTCTTGAATGAAGCCTTTTGAGAGTTGTTCGTCGATGATGTTTTTCAGGGTATCTAGTTGTGATTTAGACATATCGTAAATTTTGCTTGTGGTGAGTGTTTCTCCTTGTTTGACGTTGATTGCACAGTCTAGGTCTCTTCTGTGAGGAGGAAGTTTAGATGCTGAGTCGTCAGAGAAGATTGTTTGGGCAAAACGGCGGTGTTTTTCCGGGATAGATAGTAACCAATTTTCGTCATTTTTGGTGAGTCCGTTGATCGAGGCGGCAGAGGCGTTGAGGTGGATGAACAGGTTTTTGCGTTAGTCAACGATTTCAGGTGTGATGCGTGAATAATGGCTGTTCGGAGTTGTACAAGGGTTCGTACTTGTTCTTCGGCTTGATTGTATGGTTTTCCTGGGGTTTTTACTCCCCCAGGCGAAGAGACAAGTACAGGTTTCGGTTGTTCATTGCGATAGGATAGAATAGTGGACGTAGTCCATTCTATGTCGGGTTATATCGCCTAAACCATGTGAGGCCAAAGACAAGAGGATGTTCCGGTGCGAGTTTAGTAACGAGAAATGTTTCAGTAAAGATTTGTTTGTCGACAATAACGTTAAGTGTAATTGAGTCCGTGATATCATTAGTGGAGGTAGTTGCTCCGTCGATAGTTTGTAGTTTAATTGGGACGTCAAGTTTTTGCAAGTGTGAAGACAAGTTGTTTGAAACGATGAATTTTCTATCTACGAATTCTCTAGATGCGCCACAATCAACCAAAATAGACATAACAGCTTCCTCTTCATGCTCCAACGAAATAGATCCCGCTAGAGTGATTGAGATAGGATGGGAGGATGGATGGGATCACTGGGTCAAAGTCTCTGGCGGATATTGACAAAATATAACAAAAAGTGAATTTCGATGTCTGAATTTTTGGGTAATATGATATAAAATTAGTACAGAGTGAATTAAAGCCACTTTGACCTTCAAATTGATAATCCATAGATTCAATATCTGCAAGGACAACAAGGATATATAGCAAGCTTGATGATCGAACAAAGCGCGTCGGCAATCTTTGACCCCTCTATCTCCCTCCCCACAACTGACAATCTATTATCCCTAAGTACAGAGCAACCTTACATCACCACAAGATTCTAGTCCTGGACACAGCGTTCGGCGTTATCCAAAGTCACCTAGTAATTCCTGGAGTCTAAAATAAACCATCCAAGCACGAAGATCAATGGTTAAGGATATCTGTGTAATAACTCCAGGCTTTCTATTGGAGTAGTTTCAAGCCTGCGTTTCACGATGGGCCAAACATCTGAATTGGGAACGCGTCCACGAGATGTAAGTTGGAATCTCACGTCCACACGTGATATTGATTGCATCCCTACTCTTCCTAAGTCTTCTTCTTGAGTGATCTTCATTTTTCCACTTACTGTTTGCTTTGAGAGAGTGAAGACTAATAAATTATCAGACGCCTCTGGATACCGCAATCAATGCTTCAATCTTTGTCGCCTTCAATGGATTTCCAACTGGACCCCCTGCATCCACTGATCGCGATACTAAAATCAAGAATCTGAAGCGTCATAATCGTCTTGTTCGTGCGAATATTGTCAAAGCTTTCGTGGTTGAGAAAGAGAAGCTGTTGGAGAAATTTAAAGACGATATTGCGAAGCAGAAAGATGCTATTGACACAGGAAAAGCTAATCGAGTTGTGATTTCGATCAAGGAGCATGCGAGGGAGAAGAACAATGAAAAGGAACTTGAAGATCTCTCTTGGCTGAGAGGTCCAAGATGGTTGTTGGAATTGCAAGCACAGGATAGGAATGGGGGAGTCAATGATGTTTCCCACCAGGAAATGCAGAATAGGGATAGGAGATTGAGGAAGGAAATGGAGGGGCATAAGAGTGAAGAGTATGAGTGGAACCCTAAGGATTTCCGTGGCCCTACGCCGGAGAGTGAGACTACGGAAGACATAGGTGGCAACAGGGATAGTGAAAGAGATATTGTGATGGGAGGGTTGAATTCATCGAGTGTGTCGCCCACAGAACTCACTACTCCGTCTAACACGACGGCACTTTATGAGCTCGAACAGAAGCTGGATCGAGATCTACAGCAATTGCTGGAAGAGGGGATCAAAAGAATAAAGGAGTATGATGTTCATGCGGACAATTCCGTGAAACGGTTTAAAGACAGATTGGCGCAGGATATTATCAATGGCCTTGGATTGGACATAACGGAGGGTGAACAACTGAAGAACATAGGGTCGAAAATCAATTTACCAACTCCTTCCGGGCCTCATGTGAGTATACTGAAAAGGAAGTCTGTTTCGATGCAAACGCCTGTGGATTCAACAGCCAGTATTCCGAAAAAATCGGTATCGATCCAGACTCCATTGGAGAGCGGGGCTGATTGCGGTAGTACTTCGAAGAAGTCGGTATCAATCCATCCTCTAAAAGAGAATGGTGGTAGTTCTTCAAAGAAACCCATATCACTTCAAATACCACCCAAAACTCAAAATGGAGTTCTGGGGAGACCACTTGTACACAGTCCAATGGACATTACTGGTAGAGCTTCAAAGAAAGTCCGTCTTGACGATCCCTTCTGGACTGGCCCTTCAAGTTCAAGTTCAACTCCGCTGTCCATAAATACTCCAACCAGTGCACGGAGCCAGGTTTCTTTCCCGACGAATGCTCCCACGGGCCCAGCAAAGTCCAGGCGTTCCTCAAATTCTTCGAGTGGACCTCCTACTCCTAATACACCGAATGTTCCGAAGGATCCGGCAAATCTTAAATATTCCAGGCGTCCATCAAGCTCCTCGAGTCGACCGCAGAGTCCCAATATGCCGACCTTCCTCGCCGGCTCTGCGAATGCCAATGCATCTACACCCAATCTTTCCCATTCTCGGAGTGCGCCAAAGGATTCTACTTCTCCTCGTCGGCCATCTAATGCTGGTCTGCGAGGTGGTTCAGCTTCGCCGTCCATGGTCTCTACACCATCGACAGATTCTAAAAGCACTGATTTCCACGTTGGCAAAAGTTTCATATCATCATTCACCTGGCTCCCAAAGCCTGGTGATCCATGTGATCTAAAGATTTTAATCGGTGATGAGATTGAAATTACTAAACATGAATCAAGGGACGATTATATTGCATTTAACAAGACTTCGAGAAAGCCGGGCCATATTGATATCAAATATTTCAAGCAGGACATTGAGCCCATCGGACTGCTTGGTGTAACCTTTACATCTCCAAGCCAATATCATCCTAAATCTTTCAACAACTTTTATGATTTAGAGATTGATTATGGTGATAAAGTCAAAATCACGTCGCATCACTCCGGCGAGGCATATGTAGGCTTCAATATGAGAACAAAAAGGGCGGGAATGTTGAATACGAAATATTATTTGAAGGATATCGAAGACACTCAGCTTATCAACAAAATCGCCATGCGATCTGGCCCCCGTTACAATCATAATGTCGATTCTCCTATCTCACATATCGGTAAAACCTTCATGGCAACAGATACGCAGAGTCCAAAACACCCTAAAGATGTGGCTACGCTAAATATTAGAATTGGCGATAAAATTGAAATTACCAATTATAATTCTGGAAACACTTTTGTGGGTTTCAATAAGATATCAAAAGAAAAAGGGCAATTCAACATGGAAACTTTCTGGGAGGATGTCAAGAAATCTAGTCTTGAATCTATTGGCAGACCATCCACATCCAAGAAGAACCCCCAAAACAGCATGAATGTACACGTTGGCAAAACTTTCATTGCATCACACGACTATTATCCACGTGGTGATGCAGCTGATGATCTGCCCATAAGATATGGAGATGCCATCGAACTTGTCAGGCATGATTTTGGTGACATGTTTGAAGGGTATAATGCCAGAACAGATAGGATGGGGCTAGTCAATATCTCATACTTTAAGAGAGATGTCAATTCTGTTGATAAAAATGGAGAATCTTTCTCAGCAACGGGGTTTCGACGTTCCGAAAATTACTCATATGATATTGGTATTCCACAGACCGACGGTGCCGACGACTCCGAGTATTATCCCCAAATCACCTCCGCTACACATGTTGGCAAAAAATTCATCTCATCACACTCTTGGCTTCCTAATAATGGTATTGATCTTGCAATAGGCTTTGGCGATACTATTGAAATTATCAACGACAATTTTGAGGGGAACTATGAGGGTTACAATATCAGGACTCAGAGGTATGGCCGATTTCAAGCCAGGTTCTTTCAGAAAGATATTGATGCTCTTGACTACATTGGAAAGATTTTCACAGCCACGAGCAGCCTATACGATCCGGATTTTAATGCCCTACAGATCAACATTGGTGATGCCATTGAAATCACGAACATCATAGGCCGAGATTTGTACACGGGAAACAACCTAAGCACCGGGCAAATGGGAGGCAAGTTCTACATTGATCTGCTTCGAGAAGATGTCACACGTGGTCATTATGCTGGTATTTATGACAACCGGGGAAACGAAGAACATCGCCATTTTGCTGATGAAATCCCGGACGACCATTCCGCACATGAACCCCAAGATAAAGCTTCACCTCACCATTACATCAACAAAGTCTTCACAGCAACAAGTAGCCAGAGTCCTCGAGGGCCTTCAGACATCATCACGTTATCTGTCTCCATAGGTGATATGATTGCAATCAACAAATTCGTCTCCGGCTCGACCTTTCGCTGCTTCAATATTACGAGTGGCGAAACCGGACATGTCAAGTTGGATAATTATTGGAAGGATATCGAGACTGCTGAGAGATTGAAAGATGGTATGGATGTTGATTTGCCTCCTAGTCGAATCTCTACGCCTGGGAATTTGAGGCATGGTGTACACCAAGAGCAATGGCAGCAAGGACAATCGGACAAAACCAAATTTAAGATTAAAGGGGCGTCGCGGAACCCATCGATTGTCAGGGAGTCTTTCTAGAGAAGTGAATTGTACGATACGGCAAGAAATGGGAAGAGAGAGGTAGGGGTGGGATGAAAAACATTGAGCATTTGACCATGGGGTGTACATATCTAGGCTAGGAATGGAGTTTAGAACTTTGATTATTCTCGAGGAAGAATGTTAGAAATGGCATTGGGGCGGGAAAAGTTTTCGACTTTCGATTTAGAAGAAAGCGGGAGGATTTTGCAGTGTGTTGCGTTACATTACATAGCATTGCATGTGTGTGGGAATTTGATCACATTTCTTGAGAGTAGGGGGTTTACGGATACCTAGATACCTAGATACTTAGATATTTAGATATCGATTTAGATATTTGCTTGCGTGTTTTTCGGTTGGTTGTCTGATTGTATTTGGACTTTTACTACTCGGATGCTGCAGTATTGCCAGTGAGCAGGTATGGATTTCGGTAGTTGGTTGACTGGCTGGCTGGCTGATCCCTAATCTGATTGTGGTAGGTCTGTAGATTTAGGTAACTCGATGGTCAATCGGATATGCTTCACTTCTAGAGAGCTGATTGGTATTGTTCGTTTGTGATGAATGACTTCAATGGGTGAGATGAAGAAGGAGGCCTTGGTCTGAAAAATCAATCGGCTTGACTGCGCGATTGCATTATATCATGAACAAACAATCCATGTAAATCGCCACAGGCAGATACTTCAAGAAATTTCTTCTGATCGCATGTGACACATTATTGGAATCTCAAATTTCATAAATGAGTCTATCGATTATCTACATCAATGCCAGACACTACATGCATTGCTTCAAGATCTATGCTACGCCTTAAGAACTGCTCAGCCCTCAAAATCCAATTGTCCAAAACGCCATCGCTAAAAGAACGCACCCCAACTCAATCATAAAACTATGCTCAAGCAGACCCTTCACCCGCACTTCCCCCCTCTCCACCACTCTGTTCCCTCACCTTCCTCATTCTCTCCTCCGCCGCCTTAGCCAAAATCTCCCTCCTACTCATTCCCTGTCCCGAGTTCACCCCCGAATTCATCCCCGTACTTTCCGCACCCCCCGACCCTCCAACTCCCAGTACAAATTCCCCTCCACTCCACCCCCCATGATCATCCACCTCTTCTCTACTATAATACTCCTCTTCCCCCAGCGCATGCCCTCCACTCTTCCAATCATTCCCCTCCACCTCCTTCTCAATCTCCTTACACAAATTCCAAAAATTCCGATCATGCGGTCCCCAGACATTATGCGCCAATTCGTGACACAGCGTCTTGCGAATAGTTTTGTAATCTCGATACCCATCATACGCATCTGTTCTCAGCCGCAATTCAATCACTTCCCCTTGATTCCTATTCAGACCCAAAGTGCGCGATGTGCCTTCATGATTCGAAACCGTATGTTCGATCGGATTCATTTCCGTCAGGAGAGGAACGGTAAATTTATGTTTGCGCATCGCCGCCTTGATGCCCGCGTCATCTTTCAATCGTTGCAGAAATTGGAGAGATTTCGAGGGATTGGGGAGGTAGGGAAGAGGACGTAGGGTTTGGAATGTGTATTGTGCTTCCTCTTGTTCGCGCTTCCAATCTCGAGTTTTGTAGGCGGAGACTTTTTGCGCGGGACGGGTGGCGGGACTGTTGACGCTGCGGGAGGCGGCGAGGGCGCCGGCGGCAACGGAGGATGCTTCGGCGATGGTGCTACCCATAAGAGTGATTTTTTTGTCGGTGAGGGATGTTATGGGGAGAAAGGGATCTTTGAAGGGGAGTTTTAGAAGACCGAGTTTGGAGACCATGAGTTTTTGGTTTTGAGGGGGATTGAGAGGGTATTTGAAATGGAATCGGAGAGGTCGGTGATGGTTGCTGTTAGAGATAGAGAGAAGATGTGAGGTTTGCCATGATGAGTGATGGTTATGGAAACTAGATCTTGGGGATTAGTAGACATGTCGTCGTTGTTGGTATCCATGATCTCTGCGATTTCCAGATCTTATAGTTTTATGATTCACAACACAGTGCGAATGAACTAATGAATGAATGCAATAGCTATACCAGTACTTGTAAAAAGAATGTATTATATTGTATTGAAAGCTAAATAATATACATAGTTTAATATAACTAAGTTAATGGTAATCATAAGTAGAACTTTCTAGGCAAAAAACCGCTTCGTAATCATTAACTTTCAAAGCAGACGTCTTGCCACAAAAGCAAGCTAAAGATTACATAATCCACAATCATCATTTGCCAAGCTTTCCGATCCTCCGCCGCCAATAACCTTACTTCATCATCCCTGGCCTGCTTGTACCTTTTTACAAGGCTAAATCGAGACTCAGAGCACTTAGCTAAGCTTCAAGCTGCGTGTCCTCAATCCCGTCCATCAACTACAACGACAACTGTGCGATTGAATGTGTTATATCAATTGATTTATTGATCTCAATTGTTTTGCTTGATTCTTGACTCGGTTCTAAATCTCTTTTCTTTGAACCTTTGGGTCTTTGAAACAAAGTATCGGCGATTGCGCATGTGTAGGGAAACTCCCTTGACTTGCTCATCATGAATCTTTTTCGAATCCTGGGTATGTTATCCCTCCAGTTATCTTCGCACATTGAGGTTCAAGAGCTGATTTGTTGCGCTTCCAGGAGACTTCTCCCATCTCCTCTCAATCCTGATCCTCCTCCATAAAATGCACCAAACAAACGTACGTCCCCTCCCCTACCCCTTCCCCTCTCCCCCCAATCAACCATCTAACCCCCTCCAGTCCTGCGCCGGCATATCTTTCAAATCCCAAGCACTCTACCTCCTCGTCTACGTGACCCGGTACCTCGATCTTTTCTGGACCTTCACCGATTCGCTCTACAACACCACTTTCAAGCTTCTCTTCCTCTGCTCCTCCGGCTACACAATCTACCTCATGACCACCTCCTTCAAACCCACCCACGACCCCAATCTCGACACATTCCGCGTACAGTATCTCCTTGGTGGTTCTCTCGCCCTCGCTTTCATCTACCCCTACGCCTACACCCCTCTGAAATCCTCTGGGCCTTCAGCATCTGGCTTGAATCCGTCGCCATCCTTCCACAACTCTTCCTACTCCAAAGAACTGGAGAAGCCGAGACGATTACTGCGAACTATCTCTTTGCGTTGGGAAGTTACAGAGCATTATATATACCGAATTGGTTGTGGAGATATTTCCAAGAGAGTCACTGGGATGGAATTGCCGTGTTTGCGGGTGTGATTCAGACGGTTCTTTATTCGGATTTCTTTTGGATTTACTACACGAAGGTTATGAAGGGAAAGAGATTTACTTTACCCGTGTAAATTTCTCGAAGGGTTTTATTGAATCCAAGCTTTATTTTACTAAAGCAGAGATCGATACAAAGGGAATGAATGGAAAACGATGCGCAGACGAGTCAGTTCGCGAAGGAGAGAAAGACTAACAGAAGAAGAAGAAACACCTGTACGACAAATGGCTCCTTGTCGAATGGAAGCCACAGACAAAATAAGATATGATGAGCATGGTTTGGCGTTGAATGGAGACGGGTCTAGATTCTGCTCGAGGCACAGCAGGGTATGGAAATGAGGCTCAGGTTTTCTCCAGCAATTTTGTACAGTATTTGTAAAATGCATAGAGTATGATCTCTGACCCATTGAAAGTGCAAACTAAGCCCTAAAGTGATTGATAAGGTAAACATATCTGTCTACTTCATGTCAATTCGAAAGCTTCACATTATTATGCATTCTATCCACCCCCAAACACCCGGTAATAGACATCATCATTTTCTTAAATTGTCATTTTTTCATTTGACTGCCTACAACCCATATATACACAAACACCATCGTTTGACGCACGCAAGAAACCCAAATACAAAAACCCATCCAGATCAAGATCAAGGACCATAAGCGACTCTTCCACGAGGATTTTCGCTCGAGTAGCCTGGGGCCAGGAAATTAGTTTCTGGGTTTCCTGTTTCCTTTGCTGCTGAACATCTGGCCATTGTTGGGGAACTGTAATTCGTGTTAGTTTTCGTGTCTCCGGTGATTGAGGGGCGAGAAGGGTGCGGGTGGGGAAAAGGGAAATAGGATGTGTGTGAACTAACCTTCTTGAAATAACATCTGTGAAATAAAAGTTATCAATAACCTTCTTCAAAGGCGCACCCGTTGGCTTGCTACCCTTGTTCTGATCTACCAATTGAACCTTGCTCAACTGTCTCAGAGCAACTGGTTCAACGACATCATAGCTAGCTAATGAAGGGCTGATCTCCACCATACGATCACGCAAAGCAGCGACATCATCATATGGTAGTGGAGCACCCAAGAACTCACTGACTGCTCGGATAATCTTCCAATCAGTTCTTGCGGCACCAGGTAATGAAGTAGCAGCACGGGTCATTTGTACACGTCCTTCAGTGTTAACGTAAGTTCCGGCCTTCTCAGTGTAAGCGGCACCTGGAAGAACAACATCGGCGATTTGAGCTCCACGATCACCGTGATGACCTTGGTAGACAACAAAGGCGTTCTTAGGGATATCAGCAGCATTGAATTCATCAGCACCGAGTAACCAAACGAATTTAGGCTTTGTCTCGGCAACGGCTTGGGAAGGTGTGGTAAAGCCAACTTCGAAAGCACCAGCTCTTGAGGCAGCACGTTGAAGAACGTTGTATCCATTCCACTCCTCTGTCAAGAAGTTGGAGGCGTGCTTCTCAACGAAAGTACCGACCGTCTCATACATGGCCTTGGCATCAGCGTGGTCAGTGACACCTGAACCAACGATAATCATTGGTCTCTTGGCCTCTGCCAGCTTCTTACCGAAAGGTCCAGCGAGGGTCTCCTTCAAGGCGGCAGCGTCAGTACCGAGGTGCTCAAATTCGAAGGTTGATTCCCATGCTTCACCAACAACACCAATTTCAAGGTCAGAACGTAACCATTGTTTGCGGATACGAGCATTAAGACCAGCAGCTTCGTGTCTGGTGTTACTTCCAACGATCAAAATAGCATCGGCTTCCTCTACACCCCAGATCTTAGAGTTGAACAAGTAATTCGATCGAACGTCGATTCCGTGTGGCATAGGGGCGTTTCCAGATGGTTGATCAAGAGCCAAGTTCTCAGAGCCAAGCTTGTTGGCAAGATCCTTCATAGCAACCATAGACTCGGTCTCAATTAATTCTCCAGCAATAACCTTGAACTCGTTACCCTTTGGAGCAAAATCTTTGTATGCTGCACCAATCTCAACCAAAGCTTGCTCCCAACTGACTGGAAGGAATTTTCCATCCTTCTTGATTAATGGGGTAGTAAGTCTTTGAGTTTTCAATCCATCACAGGCAAATCGTGTCTTGTCGTTGATCCATTCCTCGTTGACATCGTCGTTTAATCTAGGGAGAATTCGCATAACCTCGAGACCTCTCGAGTCGACTCGAATGTTTGATCCTAAACCGTCCAATACATCAATAGATTCGGAGTGCTTCAATTCCCAAGGTCTAGCTCTGAAAGCGTATGGTTTTGATGTAAGAGCTCCAACAGGGCACAAATCTATAATATTTCCAGACATCTCAGAATCCAGGTTCTTCTCGAGGTATGTTCCAATTTGTAAATCGTTTCCACGTCCAGTCGATCCGAGTTCCGGTGCACCAGCAATATCGTTTGCGAATCGAATACATCTTGTACATTGAATACATCTGTTCATCGAAGTCTTGATGAGGGGTCCAATATTTTTATCCTCGGAGGCACGCTTGCCACCAACTTCGTGGAATCGTCCGCGATCAGCTCCATATCTCATGGATTGATCTTGCAAATCACACTCTCCTCCTTGGTCACAAATAGGACAATCTAGCGGGTGGTTGGCCAACAAAAATTCCATAACTCCTTCTCGGGCTTTGTGTGTGAGGGGTGAACTGGTCTTGACGACCATACCGGGCTGTACCGGCCATGCGCATGATGCAACTGGTTTTGGTGCTTTTTCGACTTCAACTAGACACATACGACAATTTCCAGCAATCATAAGCTTCCTATAGTAAAATATTCGGATCAGTGGGGTTCGTTTGTAATATGTGCACTCGTGTCGACTTACTCATGATAGCAATATCTATGAAAGTGTTAGCAGAAAACCTCAGCACATAGTATTCCTTTTGAAAGCTTGCCTTGGAATTGTGACACCTGCCTTCTCACATGCTTGAATTAAAGCAGAACCAGCTGTGGCGTGTCAACAACTTTTTCGTATCTCAATGGAATCATTCCCAGCATACCTTCTATGGAAACTTGTTTGCCATCTAGTATAGAAGTTAGCCAAATCTTCTATGATATCCTTCGCAGATCTAATGCTGCTTACCAACAGTAAGAGTAACCTCTGCCTGTCTTCTATTTGTAGTCGCGAATGTTCTTGCAACATATAAACTTTGTCTACTGCTTCGTAGAGCGGATCTCGATAACGTTGACCTCAGCATGGTGTGTATGTAGAATCTGGGTATGAAAAGAAGAAAGAAAGAAACTCCGCAGTACAAAAGAGGTGGCGAGGGGAAACCCTTCAATTGATTAATTATCTACTTCTTTACCCCAAATTCATTTGAAGCTCTCGTCGTTCGGATGTAACTTCTTAGCGTACATCGTGGAATTTACTAATCCCGTTCCCCGTCATCATGATTGGTTCACCCAAGATGACTAATATCCCACACTATAAAGTTCTTCACATTCGGAAATTTTCTAATCTTTTTCTTCTTTTCTTCTTCATTTAAATTGTAATGGACACTTTTATTGTGGGTGTACTTGAGTGAAGCAATTCACAATCAATCGAGTCTTCCTCTATCTTGTGTTCTAGAAGAACATATATTGAGCGCTGGAATGGATGCAAATGAAATCTTTTCTTACAAAAAAGCTTTATGAATGCGCAACTTACCGCCGGCTGCTACATACTACTTGAAATTACCTGCATAATTTTGCGCCGTTGATGAATCCAAATCGACGACATGAACGGTCAAGAATTGAGAATAGTCGTTATGAATCAAATATGGTGACGATGATCAACCTCTCTCTGGATCGTGGTTTGATTCCGGTCTGTTGCTCTATATTGTTTTGAGTGTTGTGATTTCTTGTACTTGTTTGACCACCACCTACCATGAAAAGCAATCGCTATGTCAAAGTCACTCATACACTTGCTTCTTGATGTGGCTGCCAGAATCCTGTTCGTCTTAAGAACCTCATTTCCTCATAGTTTATTGTGTGGCAAAATTAGTAAACACCGTTCAGCTAGATCTTTGCGCCAATGACAATGGAGAATTGCCTGCTCCAAATTTACGAAATAGTGCATTCTTGCAACGATCTCTGGCACGTTTATTCCAGTAACCTGAATGTACGACTTGCTCCCAAACTCTGCACCTGCTCCAAGAGAGTACCTTGTCCTTTCCGTTGAATGGAATGTGGCTTTCAATGAAAGGATCATGTCTATCGTTGTCGACGTCTTCATACCACTTATCCAAAGCTGATAACAGATTAGCCATGCATCACTGGCATATGTCAACTGCCGTGGAATGACAGCTTGCCTTGGAGTTGTGCATTTGTGAGAGGGACATACTAACTTGGTTCAATAAAAGGAATGATTTCACCAATCGACATGTAAATCTACCTCTTGCGTTCTCGAAATTCATTCGATGATCCTCGCGATTCCTCCTACCGATTGTAAAGTTTGTCCTCTCTCTATATCCTACTTCCAATAACTCCTTGTGAGCAACATTCATGTGGAAGATAGGCATCAGCGCCTCGAGATCTTCCGATGACGAACTATTAGCATGCAAGCGAACCTTTAATTTGCCTATGCTTGGTAATTCCAGACTTGGGAACGAGGTCATGATGACCTCAGTCAATCTTCGGAGCTACCCAAGTTTATAACGCTGCTGCTGGTTGATTGAAACCTCCATTCTGTGGAATGAGAATTCAACATGGATTCTGACGTCTCGGACTCGCCTCAAGAGTGGTGGGTATGTGCGTAGGACCGTTTCTAAGTCGTCAACCAGCATACTGTGCGGCAACATTATGTCCCAACAAGGTTGCCCCAATCATAACTTGAGCTCAGGCTCAAGTGCGTGCACGATACAGAAACGAAGTCGAAGCCTAGCATTGTAAGAAGTCAGCAGGCATCAAGGCATGGAGGGTAGTTTAATGACATGATGTGCTGGGCCATCCAAAGCGGTCAGGTTGAGTATGTAGTGTTCGTTGATCTGCTGCTCTGGTAGGTTCTCAGTTGATGAGAGGCAGATCTGATAATAAGCTGCATACTACTAGATACGTACATTCACCAACGCTTGCTCAATGTATAACGCCCAAGGAATGAGAAATTCTGCTCAGTAGCAACAAATAGCTGCAAAGAAATCAGATGATAAAGGCGGCTTAGCTCTTCAGTTCTTCTACCCCCTCACTTCAGGTCCTCAAATCTTTTCAATCCAGTTGATTGGTTTGATCATAGACAATTGGAATCTCAGTAGAGTTTTATGTTATTGATAGGTAGCTGGATGAGGTATGTGATTTCATTTAGGCGTTCTTTGAGGGAGGACGGGGGAAAACGGGAGAGACTATTTGAGATTTACAAGGATGAATGGCCTTGTGATGGAGAGCAATTTGCAAAAGAAAACTGAGGGAGATATTCTCGTTGATGCTCCAACAGGTTGAGGGCTGCTACTCTATCGACTCGAACCAGTGAATCTTCCCCTAGCTAGGAAGACGAAAAACTTAAAAACTTGACGAGAAATTATGTAACAATCGAGAAAGCCACCAAGAACACTTGCAAGATGAATCTTTCTAACATTTCCTATAATTCTAGTACACACTTTCCACAGATGGTTTGAGTATGCAGTATACCTAGTTAACAGAAGCCAAAGCCTTGCTGAAACGAGAAGCCAGTCCATAGAGTCAAAAAAGATTTATAGACATACAATCACACAGGTTCTGCATGACTGTGATGAGTGTCCCATTCTTGGACAAAGCTTTACTTGTACCCTTTCTTGTTTGAAACTCAATATGACCAAGTGGGATGTCTTTCATCTTTATGTTTTGGTAGAGAAGGAAGAAATAAATAGGCGAAGTTCGAGTGAAACTTCAAGGGGGAAATACTGATTTGTCAATGCGAACACTGAACTTCAGTACATTCACTTTTTCAGATTTACTGATCGAAAACAGATGAATCTGAGAAGCCCAAGGTCATTCGAACAGTTTCCATGCTCATTTCATTTTGTACTAGCGTATTCTATCAGTTCGAGCAATATTCTCGTGACCTTGCATTATATTCTCAGTAGGATAAACACACAAGTCCCCAAAAAGACATAACAGAAACAAAGTCTTTACTTCTTTTCTTGAGTTCTACATTCCAAAAAACATTGTGTAAAAACATTACTTGCAGTGCAATAATTGTTTCTCACTAAACACAAATTACTCCGACCTCAAGGTTCGATCTGTCTATCAGACAAATCATACGAAATGGACTTCAGCAACGGTCTTGGCATATCATTTGGCACAAACCATTCGGAATCTGAGGAACTTGATGGTAATTACGAAGAAGCAATTGAATCCGACGACGGTCATCGAGTTCACTATGGTCAGCAGATGGAAGATAACGGAGAGACTTCACGAGACCAAGCATCCTTTGAGTCTCAACTTGCTCATCCAGAGATTACTTCCCGACCAAACATCTCTTACCAAAACCAGTTCACCCCCATCAATCAAGCTTCAAGAGGTGCGCAAGCTCAGTCCCATGATCAACCATATCAATACAGTCGGTCGAACACTTCCTTTCATCCTTTGGAAAAGAATGGACATCTCGAGGGTCATATGAATGCCATTCTTGCTGCAGAGAACGACTATGGCCAAAAAATCCCTCAATCTTTGCAGTTTGGTGCAGATCCTCAATTCAATAATCATGATCAATCTGAGTATGGCTTCCAGGATATGTCAACCCAAAATCGAATGGATACTCAACATGGTTTTGAAATCTCTGGTATGCAATCTCAGCAATTGACACAGAACAACAATCAGCAGTACATGTCTCCCGCAGGCATGCAGCACCAAGAAGATCCTGCACATTCCCCATCCTATAATCTTCAGACCTATCGAAATTTGTACAGGAACCAAGAAGATTTCAGCGAAGTGAGCGATTGTTTGAGCCTTCAGCCAAAGCCTGGATGCTTGAGGCCCAGTCGATTTCGTTCAGTGCGCAGCAATACAAATCAGATGCAAGGAAATCAACTTGGCAACCAAGCTCAAAATTCATCATCTGCAAGACAAGGAAGTCTCTCAAACCGCAACAAAAAATCTTCTGGTCGTGCTCCCGGAAAGAAAGGTGGAGCACCCGAAGAAAGATATTGGAATGGATTCGACACACATCGCTCAATGTGGCCTGTTCAACATTGGATCATCGAAAATATCTTACCTGGATCATGTATTTCTCACTTTACTCCTGCAGAGCAAGAAGGCGTTATTACAATGATGCAAAGTTTAGGACTGGATAATTGGCCGATAACATGCAATGAGGATATCCAAAAATTCATGGATCATGTTGAGTCAATCAAATCGAATTTCAACGCGAAACAAGCACGACTCAGGGCAGAAGCAGGTTTGCCTGAGCTTCCTCCACCTGAAGAGAATCAAAACACTCAGGAGGGTGATGAGCCTCCTCTACAACCTACATCTTCATTTCCAGATGTATCACCAAATTACGTTCTTACCTCCGACCATGGAGAACCAGTCTTCGGCCAGGATCCAAGAGACTATCGCCTCGTAGGCAAGGGTCACTCTCATCATCCAGATGATAGATCTTTCATACCAGTAGGCTCGGAACAAGAGGTCGTTGCAAGTCACAAGGTGTCAGCTCAAGAACTAAACTCGCAATTTCGTCCTCCACCTCTCATCACCCAACATTTTCGTCCGACTTTCCAATCACATTACGGTATGCAGAATCAGCGAGGATATCCATTGATTCATCCAAGTAATTTCCTTCATCCATCTATGGATCAAGGTATGAATAGGCCTTTGGATTTCTCGTATCAAAATGTCGGATTCAATTATGATCCACCACAGCAATATCATCACCGTGGTTATGCGAGTCAAACACAGCAATACCATCACCACGGTCAACCTTTTGAGTACAGCTCCTTCCATGGTTATTCCCCTCATCATCCCCATCCAAACCTAAGTAACACTGCTGACCAAAATTCCCATCCAGCTCCACCCCCGGAAACAATTGAAGAGTACGAGGAAGACGACGAACAGCAAGAGGAGGTAACAGGTACTGAGTCTCAGTCTCAGACCGCAAAACAGGAATATGGACAGAAACAAAAACAAGAACAATCCGAACCCCCACGACAAGAAGACCAAGCCGCAGAAACCGAATGCGAACTCGATTCCGACGGTTGGTCCATCCATCCCGACGAAATGCGCTCTCCACCACCAAACATCTTTTCCACCCCCCGACCCGCAAATATGCCGCCTTCGCCTCCCCGACCTCCGCCTCGTTTTCCGAGTAATGAGATAAACCCCCACGGAGCGAGGAATAAACCCCCTCCGATTATTGGTCCTGGGAATCGCGTGTGGAGTATTGCTCCGGGTGCGTTTGATGACAATGGGGTTATTAGGGATTGGGACAAGGCGAAGAGGAGAGAGATCGGTGAGGAGAACTGTGGGTGCAGGGGGTTGTTTCATGGGAATGGGAAGGGGTTCTATTATGTGGATGGTTGTGAAGGAGAGAGAGTTTGGTGTGATGGGGGTGAAGGGGAGGAGGAAATTGAGGAAGAGGGAGAAGACGAGGACGATGACGAAGATGAAGGGGAGGAAGATGAACAGTTACGAGGAGTCCCGAAATGGGTTAAGCAGGCATTAACTCACGGACCGGAATTAGATAAGAATGAAGAGAGGAGAAAGGAAGTGGAGTATCGAGCGATGATGGCGAGGAAGGTGAAAGAAATACTCGCCAGGAAGAAAGGCAAGGAGCGAGGAGAGATTCCAGGATTTGGTTTTGATAGGGATTTTGACGCAATGGATGTTGAGTCATTATTTGATGATACGGAGAGTTGTATGGGGTATGATGCGAATCACTTCGATCCAAAGTCATTCGGTAAAGGGAAACGAAAAGCGAGAACTGCTGGTTCAGACGATGATCTCGATGAAGGCTCCCCAGTCAAAAAGTGGAAAGGAAAGGGTAGAGCTGCGGAATCAGATGAAGAATTGGATGAGCAAGAGGTTGCTAGGAAATATGCTAACAAGGAGAAGAACATGGGGAAAGGAAAGGGAAAAGTGTTTGAATTTCCAAAGGAAATGGAAGTTGAAGATTATCTATTTGGAGATTCTGCAGAGACGGCTCGATGGGCCGAGGGGTTGGGTTTGCGATCTTTTGGGAACGAACAAGAATGGAATGAGGATAATAACGATCATCTCTTCGAGGACAATGATACCGCACAGGGTGGCTACGACACCACACGATATCCCAATAACTCCGAACTCGAAAACGAAACCGCAACCGCAGATCCCGAGCTCGCAGCAACCGGTATTATCCTCCCAGCCACATTCCCCAATCCTTCTCATCCCTCTGAAGAAGACCTCAAAGCCACCCCCCGACCAGCACCCTACCTCTCTCTCCGCAACCCCGGCCCCTTCAATATCTTCCAATCACTCCTCCTCACCCCGGAGATAATCCTCGAATTCATCCTTCACCTCTCCCCCAAAACCCTCCTCACACTCTACTCCATCTGCCGTCCCTTCCACACCATCCTCTCCCACTGGATGGCACACTCCATAAAATCCATCGTCAAGCACCAAGCCCCCTACTCCTACACCATCTACCCCTTCTACCTCTACCGCGAGCTCAGCATTCCCGATCCCCTCGGCACCCTCAACTCCTCCGGTCAAATCCGCCGCGTCCCCAGCCTCAAATACCACCAGATGGTACTCCACCGCTGCCGCGTCGTCCGCGATATCCTCGCCTCTCTCGCACGCCAGCATCTGCGCTGTCCCCCCGGTACAAATCACTCTCTCAAAAAAGTCTGGTTCCTCATGGACCTCTCCACAACCCTCGACCGCGTCCGATTAATCCACAACCGCACCTTCTTCACCGATCAAGATCTCTACAACATCCAGCACTTCATCGTCAAACTCGACATGCGACTCAACTGTCCCACCGACGGACCGGGGTCCGATTTCCTCCGCAAACTCATGCTCGGTCAGCGGGGACTGACTCCGCTCTTTCGATTGCTCACACGAACTGCTTTTACCGATCTTTACGAATTATACCAATACAGCGTGCGCTATTCCTACACCCCTCTAACCCCCGCCCCAGACTTGCATCTCGGACTCTTCGACGTCCCGGAACATGAAATCGGGATCGCGCATCTAGAAGGTTGGGGAAAAGGATCCAAACATCTCATGCGAATCGATGAACTCGTGATGCGCGAAGCCACGCGCAGAGAATTAGGGTTTAAAGAACATATCGTGATGATGTTACTCTGGGGATATGTGGATCCGCTGACGGGGGAGAATCTGCAGCCGAGTAGAGAGGAAATGTATATGAGTGATGGGGAGGGTGAGGAAGCGGAGAGTGAGGGGGATCCGTGGGAGGGGACGGGGATGAATATGCAGAGGTTGGAACAGGTTGTTTTGGGGAGGGCGGAAGGGAGTGATGAGGATGAGGATGAGGATGATGAGCAGGAGGGAGAAGAGGAATGGGAAGATGAAAACGATTTTCAAGATGATCCTTGGTTGTGATTGTAATTCAGATTGGACGAACAGAAATTCGCACTTCTGAAACACATAAATAGCTTGAGGCTATTCTACCACATCATATCAGGCCAAAAAACAGAAGAGACATACTTTTTTTAAGACATTAATTGTACTATAGAAACCATCTACATAAATAATGCATCACCAGTACTCAATACCTACCCACCTCTCTTACTTACTTACCTAACCTTATCATACCTTACCCGCGTCTATGTCCATGAATATGAATCTCCAAATCTCCAAACAAAAACCTCACATCCTAGTAACAGCTCCAAGGAAGGCAAGAAGAACACAGCAAGAAGTCTCGAATGCATCCTAATTTACATCTTTCACATCTTCCACTACCACATGTGAACCTCACAAAGCACGAGCCTACAATCTTTGAATCTTGGAAGAAATACCTCTCTTTCTCCATTTAAAGCTTCAATCCATCCCGATCTCATGACTCTTCCAAATCCTCCTTCCCAGATTCCACAAGCACAAACCCAGGTGAAAGTACTCCATCGTCACAAAGAAGTCCGAGGATATTCTCTTATTTCACAGACCAATCATAGTAGTGTGTAGTCATCACAAAATTCACCATCACAACGAGATACAACGTTCCAAAAAGTTCAACTTCAACCATATGTATTCATTGGTGAAGCAGAAAAAACGAGAAGTGTTATCTGCATCCTTCAGCCTATCTACTATACTACTGATTTCACCAATCCAGCAATTCACTCCTCTCCTCTAGATCCTTTCCCCTCCATCCACCACCACACAACGAAACTCGACGCACCACCGCAAAGCAGAAAGAGTAGACACGAGAGGAAAAGTAAGCTTGCTACAATGAAAGAAATAATAACAACCTAATCACATCCATCCATCCATCCATCCATCCATCCATCCGTCCATGCATACCATCCTCGAACCATCGACCGTCATCAGACCGTCCACACCCACCCAATAAACCACCCACCTTCCATCCGTCCACCCCATCCATGCCCAAGTACCCCCAGCCCAGCGACCAAACGATCAAACCTTCTAGCAACCCAGCTCCAAATGTCCTAAATATCCACCTACACCCCCACCCAAACTAACCAATTATCGTATCAATAAAGAAAACGATAAATGCTTGAATGCTAGTATGTGTTTTCCCTTCTCCCAGAAATGTTACGAAGGAAAAAAAAAGAACAGGAGAAGAGACTCAAAATATTCGACACAAAGTGCTGGAGAAGCCGAAACAAGGTAAAGACAACTTCATCGCGAGCACACACAAACCGAAAGGAAAAATACAAGAAAGCGCAATAAAGAAACTTCAAAACAACATGCAGAAATCCTAACCCTTCTCGAAAAATCCCCTTTGCCAATATCCATCACCATCGCCATCGCCATGCTTTTTTGTTGTTTGATCGAAAATGCGTTCGTCATGTTTCCATACTCCGGTACGAAGAAGGAAGATCAGACCAGATATTAGACAGAGAAGACCGAGGACCCCGTCCAAACACCCCAACCACATTAACGACAGCACTCCTTCGCTATGCACCAAGCCAAGATCCAACCGATTCAAGTCGAAATCGTCCCTTTATACACCATCAAGCATATTTCGATCCGTTTCCATTTGCTCGCTTTCCCTTTGCAGCCCTGAAGTCAGAATCCACCTTCCGCATTAAAAGAACTCCGTCCTCCAAACTTTGTTCCATGTCAATTTTCCACATCATATAAATTTTCCTTGCCATTTTCTTTATACCGCTACCAATCCAACCGACTACCCATCCCAACCACCCATGTATGCGCTAAATCCACCTTGTAAACCATTGTAACAAATCCACAAAGCCCCGACCGATAAATGTCTATCTTTCATTCAAACCCCAAAGCCGTCCTGAAATATAGTCACAGAAGAGATAGTCGAAACGTATAAATGGAAAAGGATGAGCGCAAATACCAAGAACACCTTAAGCTGGAGATTTGCTTGGAGCAGCAGCACCATTCTGACGAGCATCACCGCTACCCATAGACAAGTTGTTGATTCCAGATGAAAGGAAAGCGAATGGATCACTTTCACCTTGGTTAGCATAAAAGTTGTTGGAAGGCCCTGCGGATGCTGGACCGTTGCTGGCTGATTGGAATGCCGCCTCTGCAGATCGGCTGTCAAATCCTCCTGCGCCGGCAGAGTGAACACCACTTGCAGGACCGAAGTGAGTATTCAATGAAGGGTATGAACCAGTTGGTGCGCCAAGACCGGATGGAAGAGCGTAAGTGCTAGGTGGGCCACCAAAGTGTTGACCACCATAACCACCGGATGGACCGAAGCCACCAGCAGCTGAGGCAAAAGGACCTGGGCCAGGTGTACCAGCCATCGAGTTGGAACCCATGCTATAGTTGTTCGCAGCGTCCATTGGGGAAGGATAACCAGAATCGGCAACGACAGCAGCACCAGCACGACTTGCGCCACACCTTAAACAGCTGACATTCTTGGCAAAGTTGTGGTAACCACACCCTTCAGATCCGCATTTCCAATCACCGGCACGGAAAGGAACAACGCCACCACCGCCTCCCATCCTTCCACCTCCGTGGCCACCTCCCATACCTCCGTGATGACCCATGTGTTGTGGAGGGGGCATCATTGCTGGTGGACCGTAGCCGTAACCACCACCACCACCACCACCATATCCACCACCCATCTCAGCAGCTGGGCCACCACCCATGGCTGGGAATGAGCATCGGAAACAAGCAGTTCTACGCTGGAAGTTAGAGAAACCACATGATGGACATGTCCAGTCTCCAGGGCGAGGTCTGTTCTTGCTAGGTGGGAAAGGAGTGAGAATTTCTGCAGCACGGTCAAGAACGCGACTTGAAGATGGTGAAACCTCGATAGCTTTCTCATTGAGAGCTCGTCCGTTCATGCAGAGACTTTCAGCGGCCTGAAAATGTGTTAGAGAATGGCCACGAATATTGAAAAATTTGATAAGTGAAGCAATAGATAGACTAAGCAATTTATCGTAAAGTAAAAGAATGTATTCATGAGAAGCTGAAACCACGATTTGATGTTCGTGGCACAACACACAAAAAAGGAAAAGATGAGTGGGGGAATTTTGGCTGACCTCTTCATGGGATGAAAATACTGCGAATCCAGAACCAGTTGGCTTGTGTTGATCTGGCGTTCGGAGCGTCCAGAAAGCAATGGGACGACCACCAAATTGAGTGAACCAGCTCTCGAGCTCAGATTGAGTGGTATCATGAGGAAGTCCTGCCATATGGAGAACTTTGCTGCGCTCCGAAAGAAAAGCTCTAACATCAGCACGGGCATCCATGGGTCTCGTAAGAACATCAGGATGTTCATGAGGAGGTTGTGACTTGCGAATCAACCCTCTGAGGACTCTAGCAAGTGTAACCGCTTCTTCCATTGCACGACGAGGGGAGGCCGGGGCCAAAGCTTGGAGGTGGAAAGGAAGGTTGTGCTTGATTGGAGCACTAGCTTGAACAGGCTCGACTTCCAACGCAGCGCAAATATTTGAAAGCATGGATGGACCGAATGGCAGAGATTCAGGGTGATGTTGTTGCCATCTTTGGTACTCAGTTCGAAGGTCAAAAGTTCTAGAATGTTGTAAATATGGAGGCAGTACAACAGCTTTGTCACGAGCTTCGCGGGGAAGCTGGACTCGAAGATCCCATGAATCAAGTGTAACAAAAGAGAAGTCGAGATTTTGAGATGTGAGGTGCTCGGCAGCAAATGTATCGAATCGGTTGATCGCATCGCGGAAGGTACCTGCAGTGCGGACATGTTCCCAAGTGAGAGTAGTCAAGCTCGCTGTAGATATTTAGTTAGCCAATATTCGGAAGGATCGGTATCGAGGTCGTCCTGAAGGATTGAGGTTCGTATCTGATAAGATGGTTCCGTTCGGCACTTACTACATAGAGGAGTAATTGGAGTGTTAATGGGCTTAACAAGAACACTCTCTCGGTGAAGCTAGGAAATTTATTGATTAGCAAGTTGACTTGCGTAGATAGAGGGAAGCTAAATTGAGATGAAAACTCACTTCATCACAAGTCTTTGCGTCGAGTAAAATCCACCCAAGCTCTATCACCTCAGCGGAATCTTTGGTAACGTAAACGCCATGTTCATCACAAGTGGTAGCAACGTGAATGACAACATATCGATCTAAGTTGCCTTGCTGGCCTTGAATAGCTGTCGACATTTTTTTTGGAAGCTTTGGAAGTGTGCGAAGTAGAGGGACTGAACGATTCTTCCGAATTGAGAGAGATGAGTTGTTGGGGGGAGGGGGGTAGTTGATGTAATCGATGGGACCTCCGAAAAACGAATAGGGAGGTAAGGAAGAGGTAAAGAGGTAAACAGGTACTCGCAACCAGATTAAGAAAGAAGAGAAAGTTTAAAGAAATGTGCTTTAAGCTTAGGTATTCAATATCTAACCTTCGGGAAAGGAAGGTTGGTTGAGAATTGGAGAAAAGAGGGAAAGGAGGATGTGGAGCTAAAAAATCTTGTGGTAAACGGTAAACAGCAAGTTTGAAATTTGACGGGCAGGGAACATTTAAGATTTTAGCGGGACGAGAAAAGAGGACGAAGAAGAAGAGATCTGTGAGTGAAATGGAGCTTTGGGACCATAATATGGAGTGAAGATAGACAGAAGAGAGGATGAGATATATAAATATTTATTGAATATGAAGGATTAAATAAAAAGGATGATATTTTAACATGTCAATATATAGACAATAAAAATTACACTTCACCTGTAGTTTAAATCCCCCAAAGAAGATTGTGCACCGCATCACATTACAGATCAATTGAGATATATCGTTACTTACAGATTAATTATTTATATATATATATACACACATACATATATACACATACATGTTTAACAAGAGCAATGGATTGTTCATGTACTTACTCAGATAGGTATCGGTACTCAAATTGGTAGCATTCAAATATCATCACTACCTTCATCACTCACCACGCCTACTCCTACTCCAACTCCTACTCCGACTCCGACTCCATACATTCAATTGTTGTCATATCGTGAGTAATGACATCCTCTTCCGACCTAGATAAAGTTTGCTTTTTATATCGCGCCCTCACGCAAGTAAGAGTTCAGGGACGTCCGGATTGGCCCTTGATACTTTGGTTGATATTTACTTCTTGTATTAGTTACGAGCTCGGGGTTTGAGATGATTCTTGACTTCATCTCTCATACCTACAAAGGATAGGTGAGGTCTATCTTTCTACGCCGGCCCAGCGGTAACCCTACCCACACATGCGTACATACAATACACGGAGTGTGTAGTAGCAGCAGTAGTAGTGTGAAGCTTATTTGTTCATCCAGCAACCAGTTCCGAGCCAGATATCTCTGTCTAGTACACTCTTATTATTCATAGCTTCCGGGTGAGTGAAAATCGCTATGTCTAGTGCCTGTACTATGCCTAGTACTTGCTCATCGAAAGAGGTTCTGGAAAATTATACTCTGCACTTATACTCTGCACTTATACTTACACTTCCACTTACAGAGTAACTTACACTTACACTCATCTACCCTTCCTTACCTAGGTACTATTTTTCTCTCTAGTGTCCGTCACTCTAACCGAATCATGTTAGCTGCTATCGATCATTACCTACTTGAGTATATCATGTATGTCAACAACAACACCTACCCAGGGCTCTGTACCTTGGTATTGATACTGGCACTTACCTAACTAATCAGGTCCAGTCGATAACGGATTCGTTTGTACCTGTCAATCAAAATGGGATATAAAATGATTCAGATTCGTCTTCTGGAAAGCGTCAATTCTGACTCCTTCTCCATCTCCCTGTCTGTCAGTTTCACTTGAAAAAGTATGGGGAAGGCGAGGAAAAAGGGTTGAGTTTCCCGGCTATTCTAGCCCTAAAGAATTGATCGGTGAGTCTTCCGTACCTACCGTTACCACGACTGCTATCCCTCGTTGGCTCTTCTAACCTACTAGGTATGTAGGTACCGTACTATGCTTTTTGCACGGTTCTCCTACCCGGTCTCCTCCACCAAGGACCAGGGTGAGAGGATAAGTAAATATATATTTATTGATTTCTGTCAAAACTTTATGGGTCCTTGTCTCACATATACATCTTCTTTTTGTTCCAAACATCATCCCCAGGGGGCTCATCTCTACCGAGTCATAACTTCACCACATAAGAGACCAGACCAGGTACCACCCAGTGGCCAGCGAGTTACCACCCAGTTACAAAGTATGGTATCTCGAAATACTACCTTCTTCCAATTTACCGGTCAGATATCTTCAACACTTTGTCCCAAATTCACGGAGGACAGAGTAATAAAGCTTGGAACCATATGTACATGGGAACATCCAATATACCGGCATCGATCAGATGATTTTTTCAATCCACTTCTCTGGAATTGACCCATATCTTTTTCTCGTAGCATCGGGAACAAAAGGGGATCCACAGTCCTACAAAGTATCACCAAGGGGCCGCCAGGGCGACGGAAGCTTTCTCCTGTGAACTTCTCATTTGTATCTGTGTGAGAGTGGAATTTCATTCAAGTAGTTGTACAACCCGTGGTAAACACGATACACTGCGTGAAAGCCACGATGCCACGAGTCACCTCTATCATCATCCACCGCTGTCGGTCCTTTCATTCTTCTATAACCAATCGGTTTCTAATGCTTGCCCAATTGATGAATTACAACGGCTTTCCATCCTGCTTGGCTGCCGTTGATTAATCAGCTGAGTAGTTCCACTGCATCCAAAATGAACCCAAAATACGCAACTGGTACACCGTCTTTCAGAAACAACCCATACCGGTACCGTACCTGTACAACCTCATCATCATATTTGAATACCCGGGCTCCATCCGGGTTCACCAAAGAGTCATCATATCGACCAACAATATCTGATGAACCAATGGGTAATTAGAAAATCAGAAAGGACAACATATCAAATGTTCAAAACAAGCGGTAACGCAAAGGGTAATATTACCCAAGGAAAATGTCCAGTGCAATTCAATTCATTGAGATCTGTTGAAGCCCCTATCCATTCAACAGTACATCATCGTGGGGGTCCGTCCATAAGTTTTCCATCCCATTCTCATACGATTAGGAACCACAGTGCCACTATACTCAGAACGATCACCATTCAAACCCGTTGTAATCCACCGCCACTTGTTCATAACCATAACTGGATTGTTTATCTAAAAACGTTGGTCTTGATATGACTTAATGATACCTCTTGAAAGGGAAAAAAAAAAAAGGCTGGAGATTAAGAGATCCCCTTGGATTCTTTCTTGTGATCGCGTTTCTGTTCGTTGCCACCATATCTTGAAGTATTCGATAAGTCTGATATCACCAAACGGATAATCACATATTTCTATTTGCAGAATACGGCATCCAAAATCGGCTCGGAGATTTGATCAAGGGAACAGCAAACGAAAGTATAAAAATGACCTTGACGCGATAGCCGCCGTTCCACACATATTTTTGAGGGGAAATCTTATGTGACAGTTGGACAAAATTTATGATGAAAATGGAATTGCCTACATGATATTTAGACCCCCTGACTACCTAGTAGATTCTCGATTTGTCCTTTTTGTTAATGTTACCATCAGTTCGGGTTCGCACCGGTTTCCGCAGACATCATGATTCGATGAACCTTTCATGCCTCATGGCTCACACTGGATCTGACAGTGAGATTTTGATTTCGATCTTGACTTACACTTTGTTTCCTGAAGAGTTATTGGCTTCAAACCCGAACAATTTGGAATTTCGTCATTCTATTCTTATCACTGATGATTCCGGTCACCAATAAAACCGTCAAACCAAGAATATGGAAAGCGCGTGCTCTGTCACTTGGCCGAAACACAACGAATGAATATCACAACCATCAATCACGTCACCATACTGTATTTCAACCCAAACGATTACATGACTTACCTTGGCATCATCTTTACAATATCGATTCCGATGATTTTACTCACAATTGTCCAATCAAAAATGTAGATTCGAAGTATAGAGTATTGGTGTGATAAATGCAAGCTTACGAGTCAGTGGTGATTGTGTAGTAGTCTTATCACAATCCAATTCCTCCGAGATTTTTGGATTCCTTTTTACCAGTCGATGGAGAGTGTACAAATCTTCTTGAGGATATCTGCATGGTGATAGTATCACCCATGTAATATTGGTTTTGATTCTTTTGCAACATAGATATCAATGGCTCGGAGACGCCGTGCTTTACGGATGATGGTGATGGATTGAAATCTTGATCCTTCTCATGTTCATCATCCTTCATTTTTCATTGCAACCCATTTAGTTCAGCAATCGAGTGTTTGCGTTACTTCTTACTAGATCAATGATCTGGAAACATCCATTCAAGGGAGATTCGGATTTCGAACCAAGTGCTTTGCAGTTCAGTGAGGAGCAGTAACCGATATGGTTCGTGTCATAAATGTTAATGCAGTGTTCTATTTTTTGTTTTTTTTTACTCTTCATTCAGTGTGCGGCATACACATTTTCAGAATCATCAGCCCTATTTCACTGCGTGAACATTTTGAGGCTGCGGTTCTCAAAGAATGAGATCGATTATCGCACAAATGAATCGCATACATATCCAGATCCCAGCACCGTATTCAAGAGATATTGGAACACAGAAACTCTGAGATTGGTACATTTGCTCATATTTGCTCATATTTTCGATGGAGTTTACTTCGACCATCACATTATCTGTTCAGGGCGGCGCTTACAAATTGAAGCCCTGCAAAAGCTGCAATACATTGATCTTTACAATATCAAAATCCATGCATATCGCATATTTGACGCTGACAATTCAACTCTCGACATCAAATCTTCACAAGCCCAGCACCACTCACCAGCACTACTTACCAGCCTCATTCCCATCTATCCGAGCAATCCATGAACAACCTCAACGTTGATACAGGAACCAGGGGTTCACTATCTCGGTTGTTTTACCTCTCCAACGAACCTCTCAATACCTAAAACATTCGTGCTTGGATCATCCTTGCTCGTTTGCACTGGGCATCCCAAGCTTCCGGATAAAATGTGCGGCTGCCGGATACGAAAAGCTGCTATGTTTTGATTCGTCAATGGGTTGGGTTTTTGGGATGCTGGATTGGAGGTGTTTCATGGATTAGCTTGTTGTGTGTTTTATTGCTTTGGTAACGGAATTCTTGATTGTGAATTC